GACAAGTGGTGGGAAAACTTCCGCGCTGTTTAATTCTTTTTTGGGGGGGGGGGGGGGGGGCAGCAGTAGTTAACATTCCCAACGATGGGCAGCTTGCCAAGCAGGGCATGGAGCACAACGACTGTGGCATATACAGCAGAGCAACCATGAATTAAACAGCGCGGAAGCACACCCACCACTTGTCAAAGCGCCAGAGGAACAGCGAGTTGTCTACCGAAGCCCAGGCGCGCTTGATCTCCGGGAACACGCCGCAAAAGGCGACCGTCTGCGGGCGGGCGGCCGGCGGCCAGTATATTGAGCACAACGGTGCAAAAAAGATCAAGATGCGGCAGCAACTGAGCAACTGCCCTCCACTCTGCATCCCACTGGCCCAACCCACCTGGCACGCATTGTAACGCTCCAGCACCATGCCCGGCATCTCGCTGATGACGGGCGATAGTGGGCGGACCAGGGATGGCCACTGCACAGGCGGCAGGGAGCAGGGCAGTGAGGGTAGGACAATTGCAGCGGCAAAGGCCTGAGAAACGCTGATACAGCAGGCAACGGGCAATACAGCATCTTGGTTTGTCCCCATTCCTGCTGCAGCAGAGACCAGGCGACACGAGGCCACGGCCCATCCGCCCCCGCCATCTTGCCGCCAACCCTGCCAATGCAGGTGCCATCGGGGTGTGTCGCGGCGCTGACGGCTTCTCTCACCCCCTGAGGTTGAAACGAGTATTGTGTCTCGCGCACGGAGTGCGACAGCAGGTCATAGAGGTCGGCGGGGCGGGAGTCGGCAGACACCACGTTCCTGACGTGCTTCCATGCGCTTGCCAGCGCATCCGGAGCGGCTGGAGATGCGAGGGAGGCGGCAGCGCGCAGGGGCGGTGATCGAGCGGCCAAGCCGTCTGCCGACCAGGCCTGGGGCGGGGCCTGGCCATACATGGCGATCGCCTGAATAAAGCACACAACGGGGAGGTCAGCATGTCCTGCTTTGGGGCCTTTCCAAAAAAACACTGACAACAAAATGGCTGGGCTCCGCAGGCCCCGCTCGCATGTCATCCCGCAATGCAGGAAGCAGCCATGGCGTCCAACGAGCAGCAGACGCCCGCAGGCGCGGCCCCCGCGCCAACCACCACTTCAAACACCCTCAACCTGGACCCCAGCGCGTTTGTGGAGGACCTGCACAACGCGGTGAGCGGATCAGGGCGGCTGGAGGGGCTGCTGTGAGCGCCGGGAGTCGGCACAGCGATCCAGTTTGTGCTCCTCCCTGTGCAACTCGCAGGTGCACTTCTACTGCGCGGACGGCTTCGACACGATGGATAGGTGGGCCAGGTCCCTGCGGCCGCCGATGGCAGCCCCGCCGCCGGCTCCCGCCTTCCAACGCCTCCAGCCGTCGACAGCCCGGGTTGCTGCAGCGTGCCGGTGCAAGCCCAGCGTGGAAACTGCTTGCCTCTCACATCGTACACTCCCTGCAGTACGCTGCGACAGCAGCGCGGAGCCGTGCTGACACCAGAGCAGCAGGCAGCGTACCACCACGGTTCCGGCCAGCTCTACCTGGCGCTGCGGGGCGAGGTGGATGCCCAGCTGCAAAAGTTCGAGGCATATGCGCTGGAGACGTGCCTGCACGTGCCTGCGGGCCTGCTGGCTGCACCGGTGGGTTGCAAGGGATGGAAGCACGTCTGCACGAATTCGGGTGCATGTGGCCCCCCACATGGGATGGTTGGGGTGGGAGCCATAGCAGAGGATTGCAAGAGCTGCACGTGTTTAGCGCAACTGGCTGGCCTGTCTATGTGCTTTTCGCTGTGGTGTAGTCAGCAGCAGTTGATGCAGAGGCAGCGGTGGATGAGGCTGAAGAGGCGGCGGTGGACGGACAGCTGCAGCAGCTGCGGCAGCAGATAGCAGCAGCCAAGCACCAAGGTGGGCAGACGTAGCGCTGAGCAGGCACAGGGCCTGCTCGGGCGGGCTGTTGCGCAAGGCAGCCTGCAGGCAACAGCTGGGGATGGCAGCGCTACCAGGAAAAGGGGGCTCTCTATTGCTTGGGGAAAGCGTTTAGCTGTTCCTCGCAGTCTGCTCCACCTCCTGCAGGGCGCAAGCTGAAGGCCGACATTTCGCATTACGATGCGGAGCTGGCACGGTACAGCGGCGGCATGGCTGGCCTGCAAACAGTACCGGCAGCGCTGGCAGGCAAAGAGAACAGCATGGCAGAGGACAGCCGCGTGCTGGCTGCGGCGGGCATGCAGCTGGAGGATAGCTTCCGCCAGCTGGAGGGGCTGCGGCAGCAGAAGGGCGCCGCAGAGCGTGGAGGCAATGGGCAGCCCAAAGACGGTGCGTTTGCCGCTCGGCTGTGGTTCTGCCTGCAGGTGTGGCTAGGGCCGTTGTTTGGGTTCCGCCAACAGTCAGCAGGCCCATTGCCATCCTTTCACCACGCTGAGCCGTTTCTTACATCCGGTGATGGTGCTGCTGCTCGCAGAGCTGGCAGCGGAACGGGAGGTGCTGCGTTGCCAGGCAGCGGTGCGCAGCGCGCCCGCCGACGACCTGCGGCGGCTGCAGGAGCGGCTGGCCTCGTGAGTGGCGGCTTCGGCAGCAGGATGCTTAGCTCTTGTGCGCTGCAGACCCAGTCAGCTCGACTTTGTGCCTCTTGACTCGCTCTGACTCATAAACTGTGGGCAGCTGCTGTTTACTGTAAACTAGTGACAAGCAACGCACGGGTCCTGGAGGGGCAGCAACAGGCACATGCTCACTCGCATGAGCATGACAATTTTATTCCTTGGGCGCAGCTGCCCGGCAGTAAGCCTTGCCAAGCAGGTGGAGCGCGCCATCTCCGCCACCCTTCTGCTGCTGCCCGCCACTGGATGAGGCAGAGCAGGAAGCACTGAAAAGCTGCTCCACTGCCGCCGCTGTCTCTGGTGGGAACTTGCGAGCTGTAGCACGAGTTGCAGGCGGCAAAAAGTGGGGGACAGGCAGTCAGGACTGCAATCAGCCACTTGCAGGGCAATTGTTGGGCCCAATTCACCTGTGAGAGGGCAGGACCCTGGCAAGGCGTGCGAGTAACTGGCCTCAGCCACAGCCGCATGCAGCTGCTGGCATGTCGCGTGGCGGTCAGCGGCCAGCGCCGCTCCGGCATCGACATACATCAGCTGAGCGTCTGCGTGCAGGAGGAAGCAAAGCAGGCCACCACCATGTCAGCAGCAGTGTACAAAGGCGAGTGCCAAGTTCCAGCCCAGGAAGCTTTGTTTGCGACAGCCCACCTGTAAAAGCGGCGTTGCTGTCGCACTGGGAGGGCTCGCGCACGCGGCGAACCAGTGCTGGGCGCACCTCGGCAGCTCTGCAGGTTAGGCGGGCACGCGGAAGCGCCGGTGAAAGATAGCCACATGCGTTGACTCACAGGGGATCATGAGAAACAGGTGCCTGCGGGCGTGCAAGGAGCCGCAGGGCTTGAGCAGCGGGCCCGTGCCTGTAGGCCTTAGGGTGGGCGCCGCCTTTGCTCCAGTCCTGTGTGGCCACGCCCCAGCCGCCACACTCAGTCTCGTTCTCACGCCCCAGTGCCGCCAGCAGGGTGGGAAAGTAGTGCTCGTCTGCAATGCAGCAATGGTACAGTGTGGTAGAACAAGAGGGAAATGAAGCAATCACCTTGTCGGCTGGTTGAAGAAGCAGGCGATGAGGACATGGACACACCAGCAAAGCAGTCGCGGAATGCTTTACGGGTATCGTCCCACTCGTAGATGCAGTGTTGCTCAAATCTGCACGCCAAAAAGCGCAGCACAGCGCAGGACAGGTGCTGGCAGGCTCGGGCAATGGACCATGCTTGAACTGGACAAGGTTTTATCAGCCGCATCACTCCTCCCTCCCATCACAAAATCAGAGTGACCACACTCACGAGCGGTAGACCTCCACGTCCCGCAGCACCGCCTCCACATGCGCGCGCGTCAGCCCGATGAACTGCCCGCTCTTGCGCCAGTGGCTGGCATTCATGTGCTCCGTCTGCAGGCAAAAGCGAGCAAGACAAACCTAGAGTGATGCGCTGCCGGCTGCCATGTGGAGGCATGGGCAGGTCAGCAATTGCTAGGCAGCCAGCATCGCAGCAGCATCGAGTAATAGGCTGTAACTGTTCCCATGATGACATGCCGTCATTGCCCCACCCCAGAGCCTGCCTTGCCTGCATGTCGGGGCTCCAGCGCCACTCATGCCTGGCAGTGTGGTTGCAGGCGTTGACCCGCGACTTGTCCTCCGCCAGCAGCTGTTGGTGCAGGGTGAGCGGGTCGTACAGCGGTATGTCGCTTTCGCTCAGCAGCACAAACCTGTGGGGCAAATGGCGGCGTGGGGGGGCAAGGTAGCGCGGGAGCTCCAGCCGTGCAAAAAACAGTTGCCCGCCGTTCGACTGTCAGGTGCCGCTGCTCTCTCACCGCTGGTTTAGAGGATCCTTGAACGCCTCCCACAGCAAGCTTCGTGTGGCCTCTATCAGCGAGAAATTGCCCCACCCAGTGGGCACACGGCGAGGGATTAGGCAGCCCTCCCACAGGCTGCCCGACGGGTAACCTGCACGAGTCAGCAGCTCCAGCCTTCAGCACCAGCTGATCTGGTAGCTGCATCTGCTTGCTAAGAAGCGAACACATGCTTAAGGCCAGCCCTGAGTAGCAGTACGCTTCAGCAGGGCAGGAGCTGCAGGGTCACCTTCAAACGAGGGCGGCGCGTGGATGTGCACGCTGTACAGATGTTGTCGCTCGATAGGTTGCGGCCCCATGCCGGCCACTGCTCCCACAGATGTTGCGGAAGAGCAGGCCCCACGCATCGCCTCGTACACCTCTGCGCCCGGTTCGCACACAGCACTCTGCAGAGCCACAGGGCGCTACCAGATGAGCCAAGCGCAGTTAATGTCGTCCTGACCGCACAGTCGCCGCGCCCTACCTCTGCCTCGCGAGCCGGCAGCAGGCCGGCTGCCGACGCAAACCACAGGCGCCAGGCGGCCTCGTGGTAAAGAGGGCCGTAGGTGAGGAACAAGAGAGCGACCTTTGGGATGCCCAGCGCCTGCAGATGGGGGGCCAGGGATGAAGCAGGTCGGATGATGGGGGCCACAATGGAAGTGCTGGCTGGTGGTGCACACCAGGCGAGCCAGACAGGCCCGCCACCTGGGCACAGCTGTCGTTGCTCGCATCGGCCGTGGTGGGCGGTGCCGGCAGCTCCCTGGCCTGCCTCTTGGCCTGCGGCCCTGAGGTGGTCGCGCCATTGGCTGCAGGCGTGCTGGCTGCGACATTGGCTGCCGTGACCTTGGGAGTCGTCTTATTCACTGCAACGCTGCCGTTGATCACGCCCGCAGCCATCCTGACGGCGTCCTTGGCAGCAGTGCCCAGGGTTGAGGCAGCCTTGGCAGCCAGCGGCACTGTGGCTCCAATGGCCGCCCCCGCTGCCTGCCCCGCCACTGTCGCCGTGTGCTTCGCGGCGCTCTTGAGGGCCTCAGCAGAATCCATGGTCGCTGCCACCACATTGTCGGCTGCCGAGACCACCTGGCGCCTGACCTCGGTCGGCCGCTCCTCCAGCTGCTCCCGCTCGCTGCCGCGCCCCTGCCACGCCCGGTACAGCGCCCGGCTGGCCAGGATGCAGTTGACCAGCAGGAAGGCAGCCAGGCCCAGCAGCATGGTGCGCCGCACCCGGCGGCGCAGCAGCTGCTGGTGCAGTGCCGGGCGCGGGCCGGGGGAGGCGGGCGCCGCTGCCACCGGCAGCAGCGGCTGCACCACTGGGGCGCTCTTGCTGGAGCGCAGGGGCAGCTGCTGGAGCATTGTTGGCAGGCTGCACAGGCCACACACACGGAGAGAAGGTTGCGCAACCCAGTTGGTGCTTCCGAGAAATGCGCCAGAATGCTCTCAAGTCGCGCAAAAGAGGAAGAGCAAACGTTAGAGAGGCCATTCAAGCATTCCAAGGCGAGCGATGCAGGTAATGTTGCAGGCACTTGCCACGTCAGCGCGGCGGGAGATCACTCCCGGCATGATCCCCGTGCGCAGGCAACCGTACTGCACACGAAACATATTCACAACATTGCATCCTGATTTGATGCAAAAGCCCGCATGCCAGTCGCACCTACACTGCCTGCTGCTGCTCGATACCGCTACGGCCGCTCGCCATCAGCTGTCGCGCAGGAGCGCAGCTTTTGGCCACCTGCATGATCCACATGGACTGCTCACTGCATGGTCACAGCTGTTTGGAGGCGTTTGCAAGCTTGAAGATTTAGTGCATATTTGTGTACTGCTGGCGGGGCGGCGGCACGCCCTAAGCGTCCGCGTTCCGGGGAACGCATCAGCAGGATCCCGAGCCATGGCAGCCAAGGCGCTCATCAATGAACCCAGTCAGGTGGTTACAGAGGCGCTGGAGGGCCTGGTGGCGGCCACTCCTCACCTCGCCCTGCTGGAGGGCTTCCCCTCGGTGAGTAGCGGCGCTGGCTCGGAACAGATCGCTGCGCTTTAGAGCCGACAGCTGCGACCGCCAGCTTTGAGGCCGCCGCCGCCACCCGGCACCGTGCGCCCACGCCGCTGCTATGCCTGCCCCTCTGCTCATGGCACAGATCAAGGTGTTGGTGGACGCCTTCCACGACAGGTCTAAGGTCTCTGTGGTCTCAGGTGCGACCCCCCCTTTTCAACTGTTGTCGCTCCATACCTCTGCACACGTGCTAATGGGCTTGCCAGCGCCCCACGCAGGCGGCGGCTCAGGGCACGAGCCAGCCACGGCAGGCTATGTGGGGGCTGGCATGCTGACGGCAGCAGTGTGCGGTGAGGTGTTTGCTTCACCAAGCGAGGATGCCGTGCTGGCCGCGATTCGGGCCACCACCGGCGAAGCAGGTGGGATCAGGGCCTGGCAAGCACATGTCGGGCAGCGCATGTCGGGCAGACGTATGCCCTGGGTTACCAACTGACCTGCGCTCCGCAACCGCCTCTGCCCCGCAGGCTGCCTGCTGGTAGTGAACAACTACACCGGGGACCGGCTGAATTTTGGGGCGGCCGCCGAGCGGGCCAAGGCAGAGGGGCTGGACGTGCAGACGGTGGTGGTGGCAGGTCCGCACGATGGCGGCCACGTGCCCTGGGCTGCTTCTGCCTGTATGCATGGTGGGCTGCCTGCCGTGCCTTGGCCCACTAGTGCCCCGTTGCCCGGCTGACACCTGACCGCAGATGACTGTGCGATCAAGTCCAAGGCGGCGGTGGGCCGCCGCGGCATTGCAGGCTCGGTGTTTGCCCTCAAAGCGGCGGGCGCAGCTGCTGCCTCCGGCGCAAGCTTGGCTGAGGTGACGGCGGCGGCAGAGGCCACCATCAGCCGTGTCGGGTCCATGGGCGCCAGCCTCACCGGATGCACCTTGTTTGGGCAGCCAAAGAGCGACAGGTGGGCTGCAAGGGTCACGCCTCCCTCGCCGCTGCTGGCACCAGCATCACCAGCATCACACCTGGTCGGGCTGTTTTACGCTCACACATGTCTTGCCTGCATGTGTATGGCAGGCTCGGGCCAGAGGAGGTGGAGCTGGGGCTCGGGGTTCATGGAGAGCCAGGCACATACCGCGAGAAGCTGAGGTGAGCAGCTGAGCGGCTGGCTCGCTGACCGGTCTGCTGTCTTTGGGCAGGCTGTCAGCATGGGGCGACCAGCATGCTGGCGCGCTGGCGTCAGCATGGGCTGGTTGGCCATCCATTGTGCAGTGCACAGGCCATCAAAATCCTTCCATGGTGTCGTGCTGGCCTGCCCAACCGCTTGCAATGGCTGCCGCAGGCCCGTGACTGGCCTTGTGGATGAGTTGCTGATGACCATCGCCGGGCAGACCGACTCTTACCTGCCGCTGGAGAAGGGTGCGCCCAGCAGCTCCACCTGGCGCCTTGCCTGGCGGCGCGACTCGTCCACTGATCGACTCGCTCGCAGCGCAGCACGCCACGTCAGCTCGCCCGTTTGTGCTGCACCCTTAGCCCTTCTCCAATCTGCGTGCCCCACTTGGGTGCAGGCGAGCGCGTCGCGCTGCTGGTCAACAACCTCGGAAGCACCACCGCCCTGGAGATGCACGTGGCCGCCCATGCCGCCGCACAGCTGGTGCAGTCGCAGCTGCACGTGGAGCTGGAGCGGCTGTACTGCGGGCGCTTCATGACTTCCCTGGACATGCATGGCCTCTCGATCACCCTCCTGCGCCTGGACGATGCCACCCTGGAGCTGCTGGATGCGCCCACCAAGGTAGCAGCCAAGCCGTGGCCGATTTTCTTTGGTCTGCGTGGTGCGCGTCTTCTCTGCCATGGTTGACCCCAGCCCCTCCCTGTGCACTACCGCAGGCACCCGCCTGGCCCTCCACGCCGGCAGTCTACTCGGCCGCCATTCAGCTGCTGCCGGTGCCTGCCGGAGCTACCGACGAGCAAGTCGCCGGCAGGAGCAGCGCTGAAGGCCCCAGCAGCGAGCAGGGCCAGCTGGCCCACCGTTGCATCGCGGCTGTGTGCGAGGCGCTGGTGCAGGCTGAGGCGGAGCTGAATGCGCTGGATGCCAAGGTGCGTCTGGCCCGGCTACTGCCGCTGCCGCTGGCTGGCTGCCCATTGGCGCTACTATGCTGGTGATCATTGTGAGGACGGATTAGAATGGCGAGGGCCAAGGCCTTCTGCTGTGCGCTCTGGCAGGTGGGCGACGGCGACTGCGGCAGCACCCTGGCCCAGGGCGCGGTGGCCATCCAGCAGCAGCTGGCATCCTTGCCACTCGACGATCCGTCGGCGGCAGCGCTGGCGTTGGGGCGCCTTGTTGGACGCGCGATGGGCGGGACAAGCGGCGCCGTGGTGCGTGGGAGTTTGGCGGATGTGTGCCTGGCTGCTGGCACTACTCATGGCAGCCGCTGCCTGGACATGGAAACCCGCGTGAGAACCCCCTGTTGGTGCTTTGCTGCAGTACAAAATCCTCCTGACGGCAATCGGCGCCAGCCTGCGGCAGCACCATGCGGAGCAACCCACTCTGGCAGTTGTGGCCACTGCCGTGCTGGACGGCGCGCGGGCTGTCAGCAAGTATGGCGGCGCGCAGCTGGGCAGCCGCACGATGCTGGATGCGATCATCCCTGCTGCTCAGGTGCAACGAGGGGGTTGTTGGACCTTTTGCTTTTGCCTTGAAAGCTTTCCATGCATCCCACAGCAGGGCACCCCATCGAATGTCTGCAGGTGCTCAAGGAGGCGGCAGCGGCGGATCGGCCCGCGGCGCAGGCCGCTTCTGCGGCTGCTGCCGCAGCGACCGCGGGCGCAGAGGCCACCAAAAACATGGCGGCCGCCGCTGGCCGCAGCAGCTACGTGCCGGCTGAGCGTCTGGCGGGGCACATGGACCCCGGTGCCCGGGCAGTGGCGCTGTGGCTGGGTGCTGTGGCAGCGGCGCTCTAGTCTGATTATGTGGCCAGAGAGATTGTTTTGAATTGCCATTGGAGCCAATGGCGGCGAATGGTTTATTGCACTGCCAAATGGCGGCGCGCCCCTGTCTTGTCTTGCCTGGCTCCTGGTCCTGGCTTTGGGCTTTCAATGAATTGGGCAGTGTTGTGGGAGATTTCTAGAAAGCTCTCCCTCGGACTGGCCAACCTTGTTGCATAAGCCGCCAGCTACCGTCCACCCTGGTGTTTTGCTCTGCTGCACAGTTCGTTCTCACTTGGCTTTTACACTCCAGTGTTTAAAGCAGCTGCAGCCTGGCGCACGCTCGCACGGCCGCTCCGAGCAGTCGTGGGTTTCTGGCACTGCGTTCGAGCAGCAGGGGCGGGCGAGCACCACAGCAGGGCCGGCTCTGGGCAGCACGTGAGTGGCAGCTAAGACGGCACCTGGAGCGGCGGTTGTGAGCGGTGGGCGCCGCACCCCACGCCGATGCTGCCGCTGAAGCCGCGCTCACCACTGGGGCGCCAGCACCTGCAGCCTGGGCTGCCTCGCAGTCACTCGTACAATGCGCTCAGCCGGCCGTCGGTGAGTTCTTGCGGCAGGGGGCTGATGCGCGCAACTCCAGCTGGCCGCCGGCACCGCCACTCGCATCTTAAGATCCTCCCCCGCCGCGCTCCTCCTGCAGGGCCTGGAGGGCCCGTTTGATCGCCTGCTGCGCATGCGCGTGATGCGCAGCACGCTGCTACTCCTCATCAGCATGGTGCTGGCCACCAACATCGTGTGGGCGGCGCAGGCGGTGGCAGCCTGGCATCGCGGCTTGGGCCAATCGGCCTCCAGCCAGCAGCAGCTGCTCCTCCAGCGGCTCAACAACACCACACTATCTGTGGAGGTAAGGCACAGAGGCACAGCCTGCATGTCAGACTCTGTCCTTTTGGAGCTCTTTGCGGGGGGTGCTCCAATGCTGCTCCTGCTCCTGCTCCTGCTCCTGCCTCCAATGCTGCTCCACACTTCTGCACTGGTGCAGGTCAGCCGAGTGGGCGCAGGCGAGGGCGAGCACAGCACATATGTGGTGAATGCTCAACTGGTGGACAGGGACAGCAGCGGCCAGGCCAGCAGCGCGAGCAAGCAGGAGGCAGCGGGAGCCGCAGCGGCGGTGGCTGCCAGCGATGCCCCTAACAAGCGGGAAGAGGAGCAGCCACAGCAGCAGCAGCACGTGCAGGACCAGCAGGAGCAGCAAGCAATTGGTGGTGGCCTGGTGGCTCAATTGAAGGGTGTTGGCTCGGCGCTGGGGCTGATTGCACCCATCAAGGACGGTGGAGGGCCGCTCTTTGTGCCTAACGATTCGAAAGCACAAGCTGAGGCCTCTCCACAGCCGCCGCAGCCGCCGCCCCACAGGTGTGGGACATTGCCCTTTGCTGTCACGCCAGCGCGGCTGGCCACAAGTATGCATGCTGAGCTGTTCTGCTGTTTGATGTGTCCACCCATCGCTGTCGCCCGCAGGGCGATTTTAAAGATGCCAGAGGTCGAGGAGAATAGCAGTGATACATGCGCACAGGCGAGCGTTGCGGGCTGGCTAGTGCCCGACCCATGCAGTCCAGCTTCTCTGCACTTTGTACTGTGCCTGCTTGCTGTGATCCCCACACGCTGGCCATGCGCCTGCCTTGCTGAGTGCAGGCGATGCAACTGCCCAAGGTCGCACTGCTTTTCCTTACCCGGGGCGACATCTACCACCACGAAACTTGGCGCCTGTGGTTTGAAACAGGCATGCAAGCTTTGGCTGCAATGTTGTGGTATGCTGTGTGCCAACCACATTCTCTGCTGCTACTTTATTCCCCCTCAGAAAACGCTATACAGTGGCGATGAAAGTGGCCTGTGCCTGTTCGCCTCCTGCCCATGTGCAGCCCGCGACATGCTGCCATCCAAGCAGCTTCGCGATGCTGCCTGCCCGACGGCTGCTGCACCTGCTGACGAGATGGCGACTGGGCAGCAGCAGCCGGAGGAGATGCTGGGCGGTCCAGCTCAGGAGCCACAGCAGGGCCTGGGGCATGCGCAGACAGCCGCCTCTGCCGTGGCCGCCGCCTGTGGCTGGGATGCAGCAGCTGCCCGGCAGATGTCGACTGGCAGCGGCAGCGCTATCCAGCAGCAGCACCTCTACAGCGTTTACATCCACGCGCCGCCCGACATCCAAGGTGCACGCAGCTTGGATCAGCTGTGTTGTGTGTTGGCCTTGCTGTGCCATCGCTGGTGCTGACAGTGGCCAGCTCCTGCTGCAGATGAGGATCTGCCGGAGCTCTTTCGAGGGCATCTGGTCTCAGACCGCCTGCTGCCAGAGTGGGGCAGTCACCAGGTAACTAACTACGCCAGCCGCCTGATCACTCATGAAGCCCTCCCGCCCATCCTTCTGTTGCTGTGCTTGCATATCCACCGCATCGCAGCTCGGCTTGGAGGCCTTGTGTGACCTTGCCACTGCGCCTGCTTGCAGTTGGTGGAGGCCACACGAAGCTTGCTGTGGGAGGCGTTTAAGGATCCCCTGAACCAGCGGTAAGAGAGCAGCGGCACCTTACGCTCGAGCCTGCCAACTGCTGGGCAGCTGCCTCGCACAGCTGGACCTCCCTTGGGGCGCTATCTTGCTGCTCCATGCCCGCCATTTGCCCCACAGGTTTGTGCTGGTGAGCGAAAGCGACATACCGCTGTACGACCCGCTCACCCTGCACCAACAGCTGCTGGCGGAGGACAAGTCGCGGGTCAACCTGTGCCGCCACTCTGCGCCCACCGACACGCGGCGGTGGAGCTGGCGCATGTCGGTGGGTGACCGGCGTGCCTGCACTGCACGAGCGTCGGGCCCAACCTTCTTGAGTCCATCTTCATTTGCGCTGCCTGCTCGCCGTGCTGGCTGCCGCTGCCGCTGGAGCCTGATGCTGTTTGCCCCCCCCCCCCAACCCCCACCTGCCTGCCTGCTCGCCTGCCTGTCTGCCAGGGACCTGCCCTCAAGTCGTGGCACTGGCGCAAGTCCAGCCAGTGGTTTGGCATGCTGAGGAAGCACGTGGAGGTTGTGCTGGAGGATGTGGAGGTGTTCCGGAAGTGAGTGGGTTGGGCAGGCTTGGTAGTGTTCTCATTTCCACTCCAATGTGAGTGCCATAGGTCTGTGTCTGCATGAGATCGGTTTAAAACCCTGATTTCCCCACCTGCAGGTTTGAGGAGCACTGCAAAAACTTCTGGGATGGTGACTACAAGCGCTGGCGGGACTGCTTCTCAGATGAGGTGCACATGCGAACGGCGTGCAGATCTGCACAGATAGCCCAGCGATACCATGCCTTGAACCACCCAAACCACCCTTTTGCTTTCTTCGCTGCAGCACTACATCCCCACCCTGTTGGCCTCCAAGGGCCTGGACGAGGAGAGCTTCTGCCACATCGATGGCGTCGTTGCAACCGACTGGAGCGCGGGCGGCCCACACCCCAAGACCTACAAGTCCTGGGAGACGAGGCCAGGGCTGATTCGCAAGGCCCAGGGACTGGATCGGGGTTGCAATGCTAGTGCAGCCATTGCAGGTGAGCGCAAGAGGGAGCTGCCATCAAGCGCCCCTCGTGGGGTCCCCCAAGTCAGACCACCCTTGTTTGATGGAGGCAACTTGGGTGTGTTGTTGTGCTTTTCCTCGTGCCCCCTCGCGCAGATGCGCACCGCCGGTATGTGCCCAAGCAGGCAGCATTCGGCGCCAGCAGCAGCCGGCTGTGTGACACCACCCTGGCAGACCTTGCCGCCTATGCACATGCCCTGCCTGGCAACTGCAGCCTGACTGCACGCAAGGCAAGTCTAGCTCAGCAGACAGGCTGTCTGGTCGGGGCACACTCACGGGCACGGACACAGAGTGGCTGCCTTGGAAGGGCCGGGTGACCTAAATGAGCTGCTGGACTGCTCTCCTGCCTGCCCTGCAGTTCCCCAAGCCCACCGTGCGCGCCGTCCACCGGCTGTTCACCGACTGCCGTAGCAAGCTGCAGCTGCTCGGCCCTGGCGCGTGCAAGCCCTGAGCAGCATCGTTTGCTTGGGCAGCCTCCTGGAGCCACTGGCCACGCAGCGTACCTTCTTGATCGGCAGCATATTTTGCAACTACCAGGGTGCCACCTCGCAGCTGATAACCGCTGGCAGCCTTTTGGAGCAGCTCTCTGCATTCTGACGAGACGGACTTGCCGACGCCGGTCAGCGATCACTGATTGATGATGCATGCAGCTTGCTTGTGTGGGCTTAAAGTCTGGTAAAGCAAGAACTAGCTTGCAACATAGACTCCCCGCCGAAACGGGACGGGAACCGGGCGAAAGCAGAGAAAGCAATAAAACAGGGGTGGAGCAAGGCGACATGCAACGCAAGCAGCTGACAGGGCACGCATCGAAACGTGTGTATGACTGGCAAAGTGGCATGGCGCATTGGGGAGAAACGCAACGGTACGGGAGCATGGGCTGGCCAAACGGCAGTGCGGAACGCTAGGTCACTAGAAAAGCAGGGAAAGGCGCACTATGTATGCAATGAGGGCAGCCCCGGCTCGGGGCCGTTGAGAAAGCAGTGGGCGGGAGGGGGGAGGCCCCGGTGTGGGCGGGCCCCATCGAGGGGGGATGGGGCGCGCAAGCGGCCAGATGGGGCGGGGCGCGGGCGGCAGTGGAGTCCTGCGGCTGGGTGGGATATAGGGCAATGAGCGTTGAGCAGTGTGCGATGAGCAATGAGCAATGAGCAGTGAGCAGCCCCTCCCTAAACAAAGTGAAGCGCAGGACGGGGTCCGGTGGATGGGAGGCAAGGAAACGCGGGGGGTTGCCACGTGCGCTACCGCCGCCGCCGCAGGCAGCACCCCTGCGGCGGCGGCAGCGGCAGCAAGCCGTGGACCCAAACGCCGTGCCGCCGCCGCCGCAGGCAGCACCCCTGCGACGGCGGCGGCAGCAAGCCGTGGACCGAAACTCCGTGCCGCCGAGTCCCGTGGCTGTGGCCGTGGGCTTCTGGCAGGAAACTACGGCCGCAGCTCGGCAGCACGGGGGCGTCGCAGCGTGCCGCCGCCGCCGCCGCGCTGCCCCCCCGGGCACGGCGGCGGCGGCAGCAAGCTTGGGCCCAAACGCCGTGCCGCCGAGTCCCGTGGCTGCGACCGTAGACCGTGGGCCGGAAACTGCGCCCGCAGCTCGGCGGCACGTGGTTCTGGTCAAATCGCCAAGCGTGCAGCAGCGCCGAACCACGCTTCCCGGCCTCGGCGCATGCCTTCAGGGGCCCCCTATCGCTGGGCACACCCCTCCAACACCGAACATGCGCCCGGGGGGGAGGGCGGCCCGGGCTGCCCAGGCCAAAGTGGGCCGCCCTCGAGCAAGAGGCGGCCGGGCTGTGTGCTGAATGAATGAATGAATGAGTGCAAAGGTGTATGGAAGTGGAGCGTTCACAAGCCCACAATACTGTGTTTCTGTCCCCATCTTCTTTTCAAGTTGAGTACATCAGCAAAGGGCCGACGCCCATGTAGCAACCATTCTGAGCAACCAAGTTGATTGAATGAAGTGGGTCCGGGTGTTGTTGCTTGCCGCCGCCGCCATGTGCCGTCGGGGTTGTTTTATTCGCAGCTGCGGCGCAAAGGGCATTGATTTCAGGTCCATGGCGGCTTACTGCATGGTCGAATTGTCGGGAGCAGTGTCAACGGTGGCCCAGCAACCTCATTTGCACGCAGTACAGTGCAGCCGTCGGAGGTGCATTTCCAAGCTGGGCGTGGCATTTTATTGCAGCATCATGGCGTCACGGATGCGGGCTTTGGGCCTGCTGGCCCTGCTCCTCCTGGTGGGAATTGCAGATGGTGAGTTGCGAGCAGATCTGCTGAACTTGCTGGTGCTCATCACCTCCACGCTCTCACAGAGAGTCAGTTGTGTATGCACTAGGGCCGCTTGGCCGACCACGCCATAGTGATGTCTTGATGCGGCAGGGGGCTCTAGCCGGTGGCCTATCCCTCGCAGTCCGTGCCAGGCAGCCAGTCTTGCTGTGCAGCCCCCGCGGCCCCGCCGCTGGCAGCTGAGCCGTGCTTGCCGCCGCCTGCCGCCGCCTGCCTGCCGCCTGCCGCTGAAGGGGCGTTTGGAGGTCATTGCATCTGCAGGAAAGACCTCCAAATGCCCCTTCAAGAATGGGGACGTCATCCGGTGCCCTGAAGACGACATGATCCACAGGTGCAGCCGCATGCATCCCTCCCTTGTGCCACGGCTTCCCCGCACACCATGCCATATGGCCAACGCCGCTGCTTCTCCCCCCTGCCGTGTTCATGGCTCGCCCCCCCTGTGTGCAGGATCGAGAATGGCAAGAAGCGATATTACACCGGCGGCGCGTATGAGGCGGATGGCAAGCCAGAGGCCACCGTTGACTCTGACGACGTCTGCTCGCATCGGGACAACTGCAAGGACGGCGAACCGATGCCCGACCCGCTGTCGGATGGTGCGGAGACAGAGGAGGTGAAGAAGAAGGTCAAGAGCGGCGCAGGGGCGGCGGACGGTGCGACCGAGGACGCAGTGGATGAGCTGGCAGATGTCGGGACCGCAGGTGCGAGCCGGCCACGGCTGGCTGACGCTGCAAAAGCAGGTCGGGGCAGTAGGGATGCCACGCAAAAGAGATGCTGGCCACAAGAGACGACCTCCTAATGAGCTGCATGTTGCACCTGCTACCTTTGGTGTGGCCAGCCCTTGCCCACCACCTGGTGGCGTTGGCAGGCTTGAGCCCTCTTCCAGAACCAGCGAGCAGCAAGGCAGCCAACTGAAGCTGGCCCCCCACTGATGCACTGATGCTGGTCAGCACCGGAGCCCCTGGGTTGACACATTGCCGCCCTATGCTTGCAGGAACACAATCCTCTGGTGGCAGTACCCGCTTCTTTGTAGTCGCAACCATTGGACTGGTCGCATGTGAGCACAGCGGCAGCAGCGTGATGTGCGGCCAAGGGGCAGTGCTGGGCTTGCTGTATGCTGCCAGCAAAAAGCCACCAGCTGAGCGGCTCGCTGGTCCGGCCCGCAATGCCTAACCTTTTGTGTGTGCTCTGCTTGCTGCAGTTTACTACGTGCGGCGCGTGAAGCGCAAGGCCAAGAGCTGAGCTGCGGTGCGTGATTGGTTGCGCCGAACCAAACTGTTGGCAAAGGTGGCAGCATCCCGCCACGAATGTTGTCGCGACACTCCCCTCCATATCTGTTTGCTGTCGATTCAATATTGTTTATTCTTTTGCTTGCTGTTGCATTGGGCGCATCCGGCCAGACACCCCCATTGTGAACTCAAAACACTTTGCAAGCGCAAGCAACAAGAGCCCCATTTTCCTGCCAGCAGCTGCCCGGCTTGAAAAGTCAATCGGCTGGATGCTGCCCATGTGCCTCTGCAGCGTGCACCTGCACCTACACCATCTCCAGCTTCTGCTCAACCTGCATTGCCTCCTCCTCGGCGAGCACGCGGTGCACATTGTGGTAAACAGCGGATTACAATGAATTGCATTCCCAGGCTGCAAACCTGGCAGTGGCACTAGCTTTGTCACACGTGCTGCATCGTAACCATCAAACTGGCCACGCCTGCCGGTTCAAGGCAGCATCCCAGAAGAGATATTCAAGGCGGCATCCCTGCCGGAATAGCGCCTTCATGCGCTCCTTCTGCAGCAGGTACAGCCAGGCACTAACGTGGGCAAAATGCAGCAGCAAATCCGACAGGAAGGCGCCAAACGCTCCGATGCGGTCCCGATGCCCACCTGTGCCGCCCCCAATTCCGCGGCCACCTCATTCACCATCCGAACAACCTGCAGCACAATGCCTTCAAACTCGGCACCCCCGTACTTTTGTATCCACTGCTGGTAGAGCTTATGCGGTGATCCTGCAGAAGGATGCGAAATGCGCAGGCGAGAACAGCATCAGAAGCCCGAAGGCACGACCAGCAGCGGTGGCTGTGCAGCAGGGCGCAGCCTGACCCTGGATTGCCAATGGCCTGCAGGTACCCCACGCTCGCCTGCTGCTCCCACACATTGGCTGCCAGCAGCCCCTGCACCCCACCGCACCTCTCTGCTTCAGTGTCTTTCCCACCTCTAGGTAAACCACAAAACACGGCAACACAGCCGCCAGACCTGTAGCAGCGAGGGTGTACAAGTGCGCAAGCAGTGCAAGAAGCGGCTCAACGAATCGGTCGGCACTGAAGAGGGCAGAAGGACTCTGGCCCAGGCAGATCTATCACACATAGTCGCATCCCCATTGCGTGTGTTTCCTCGGTGCCAACAGTCACTTGCCCTCATAAAACGCCCGCTCGTGCACGCTGGCCAGCAGCCACGAGGTGTAAATGAGGCTGTTGGGCGAGCGCTCCGCCACCGCTGTCTCGGCCTCTGTGTTCGTGTTGAAGTAGGCCAGAAATTCCTGCAGGGAGAAGGGCAGCGGGCTTACTAGTTGATGGGGCAGCCTGCCCATCCGCCAGCTGCTGGCCAACGCAAGACACCCAAGGCACTCGCCGGCTCTGACCCTGGCACCTCACTGACCGTCTCACCCTGTGGAAGCTGCCCTCCACTGCATATGCCTCGCCGGTGCACTGGCAGAAGAAAGCCACCCACTCGGGGCGGGGCGCTTTGGCCGCCACCAGGGCCAGGGCCCGCCCATACTCCCTGCAGCCGCTGGCAGCAGCGAGAGCTCAGCGTGGTGTGGCGCATGCAAACACTGGCGTTGTTACCAGTGTCTAGTTCTGTTGTTCTCACCGCAAGTACAGAGCATCTTGCACGATGTAGTAGCGGAAGCTGGCCTCGTCCAGGGTGCCGTCCGCCAGCCCCGTCAGGAACGGGTGGGTCAGGATGGAACTGCAGCAGCAGCAGCACAGGAACATGCATGACACGATCGCAGCGCGGCCAGCAAGGCTGCCCGTGGACAAGCACGGCGCAGCAGCCTGGTTAGCCTGGCGACTCCATGGGCCGCATTAGTGCATGGGGGCACTGATGCGGCCCATGCAAGGCACCACGAGTCGTGGCAGCGGCATCACCTAAAGAGGCCCGTGGGCCCCGCCACTGAGCGCCACAACTCGGCGCAGAAGCTGCCAGGGACCGCATCCTCGATAGTGCTGGCAGGCGGTGGCACTGCCGCTGCGGCTGCGGCTGCGGCTGTGCGGCCAGGAGAATGTGCCGTAGTGGGAGCCTTGCCCGCCATTGCCCTGGCCGCAGCTGCAGGGGCGGACTTGCTGACCACCGCTTTCCCTGCTACTGCCTTGCTCTCTGCCTTGCCTGTCACTGCTCTGGCTGCTGCAGCCGGCGAGCGAGGAGAGGTGGCGGCAGCCAGCGCCGCAGCAGCAGCAGCCGCAGCAGCAGATGCCGGCGGCTTGAGGCCTGCAGATGAGGTGGCCCTGGAAGCAGCCGCAGCGGCAGCAGCCGCAGCGGCAGCAGCCGCTGCAGCTGCGGCAGGAGAGGCCGGTGCCTCAGGTGTTGCCAGCATCCTGCTGCAGCCCCTTCCGAGAGTATTGATGTGCAACCCGATCAAATGTAAAGACTAAAGTGGACCTCCTAAGGGTTGGCGGGCTGTTCATTGAACATTAGCCAGCGTGGCATTTTCACAGGGCGAACCCAACACCATGCGGCCTCCCCGCATTCCGCACCCCTCCCTCGTAAATCCCGGGGCCAAGGAGCAGTTGAGGGGCTGCTTCCTGCCGCCAGCACTCGGCACCGCAATGAACAAGCTGCTTTTTGCAGACTCTGCGGGGGCCCCCTGGCAAAAGGTGTACTCCAACTCCCACTACGCCCTGGCGGCCCTGCTGCCCGCCAGCCTAGTCTCCCCCCAGGGAGGCGCCATTCGAAAAATGGCGGAAGTGGGGCTTGCAGCGGGCATTCCCGCGCACAACCACATCGCGCTCAACTATGGTGCGCGCGGGGGCCGGCGTTTTGGGAAGATTGGCGCCGCGGGCGCCGGCTGCCGGCTGCAAAAGGGGTTTCGGGCCACTTTATCACATTGGAGCTGCTACTAGCTCTGACTGGCTGGCAGCTGAGGGATGTATCATCCTGAATGGTCAGCTCCTGCTGCATCCACTGCACACCATGGCATGATATGAGTTGGCAGACACCACGGCGGAGACGTCGGGGCACGGCTTCAGTCATCTTGCCGAATGCCGAACATTTCAGCCAACATCTTCTGCTCTCTGCCTGCTGCCCTGCACCCCCCTGCAGTAATAAGCGACTACATCCCCCGGGGGATCCAGGTGCCAGTGCGGGCCGGCGTGATCGGCCTGTCGGTGATCACGGCGCTCGGCTTGACAAAGCTGGCGCTTGGCGGTGGGTTGCTTGCAGCCAGCGTGGCGTGCCACAACTGCAATAGATCATGGCACTGAAAGTCTGCAATATGTATGACATGCGAGCCTGCAGCATGCACCGTGCTGATGCCTGTTGCCACATGCGCCGTGCAGGCCCTGGCATCGGCGGCGCAGTGAAGGAGCTGTGGAAGAAGAAGTGAGGTGCCCACCAGCCCCTCCTGGAGGCAGCCGAGCGGCCGTCTATAAGCTGTTAGCTCGGCTAGCTGCCCTGCAGCAGCTGCCCAACAATGCGACATGCATTGGGCAGCCTGGTTTTACAGCCATGCTGATGCCGCCAGTATTTCCGTGGACGTGCTATGCGGTTAGCCTGTGCACTGCCACTCTGTAACTGCCAGATGTTACAGCCTGCTGTAACTGCTGTTTTCTGGGTCTGCGACTGGAGGTCCCTCCATGCTGCTCTACTGGCGTACAGCGGCTGTCGGCGGCAGCTTTTGCCGCCACAGCGGGCTGGAGCCCGCACTCTGTGCGGTTTCCGGATCTCTTCCCTTTCCTGCCTCGTTGTTTCCCACCCTCTCACCCTGCAGCGCAGGGCGCTGCCGAGGTAGGGCGGCGCCGCTGGCGGCGGTGCAGCGGCATGTGGCTGCGCGCTGGCTGTGCAGCCAGCAGCTAGGTCCATGGCGGCTTGGTTCATTGCGGCCTCCAGCTTGCCATCTTTGTGCATGCGTGCATGCCATTCTTCTGTTGTGTTGTGTTTTTTTTTGGCTTTTTGGCCGCCATGTTGTAACATGGGCGGGTGGCGCCTGAGACCGGCCCACCGCCTCTACCGACAGTGGCAGCAGCAGGCAACATAGGATCGGCATAAGCCGCTGCCTGCTGTGCGAGACAAATCCTGCCTCCCCGCCCCCAAAATGTACACATGCCGCTGGTTTCCCATCTTTGAGCCCCTGCCATGAGCGGGTGGTTGCATCTTACGGGACGTGGGGAAAGGATTGCATTGGGGGAACATATAAAGCATGCATTGCAGATGGAGAATACGCGGCAAAAGAGTAAGCAGGTACCTTTCTCAGACGCATTTTGCAGGAGCCTAAATTATTGGAGTTGTGCGGAGTTGGCCAGCTGGCAAAACAGGGGGTGTACTATGGGTGAGTAGGCAGGTGCACCAAGCTGGCGCGAGGAGCTGGCTGCTTGCTGGGGAAACAGAAACGCCAGGGTCCGGACGATGGAGGTAAGAGGTACAGAACAGAACAATGCATGGTCTGGAACAGCATGTAGAGCGTAGGCGGTGCATAGTGCGCTAAGGTGGCTGCTGAATGCCAGCAGCCGTGCGTGAGTGGGAATATGGCTGCTTGAAGGTGGTGAAGGGGAGATGCCTGCTCGAGCAACAACGCGGCCTCATTATACCAAAGCAGCGACGGGCTTGAATAGAATAAAAGCACTGGGCTGGGAGACAAGGCCAGGGTCTTGGCTGGAAGAAAAAGAGATGCGAGGGGAGAAAGTGGGAAGAGAATCATTAACGCTGCCCCGACAGAACCGAAGTCAACTCAAGCTGGACTGTTGAAAATGTGCAAGTCAAACAACCTGGAACATGCTGGGAGTGATGTGATGAAGAAGGGATAGCTGCTAAGGGCGCCATGTACACCAGGTTGGCATGCAGCTATGAGCCACGCGCGTTCAAACTGAAGCCGGTAGTGACAGGGAACCCGCCCCAGCTGACGCGGGGCTGGCCAGGATCCAGCTTCACGCCCGGCGCTGCCACATCACCTGCCAGCACCGTGCCTGACGAGGCTCCAGCGGCACTGCTTGTAGCCTGCACATCCCCCTGCTGCGGCTGGTACATGACAGGCACAGCCTCGACTGCAAGCCGCGCTGCCAGTGCATCTGCCTTGCGAGGCGTCTGCTTCAGGGGCTCCACAGGCGCAGATCGAATGACAATCATTGAGTGCGTGGCCGCCGCAGCCCCATCTGGCTGGGGGTGTCCGCTGCTGCCGGTGCCACTGTCAATGCGCTGATAGCGAGGCACCGCAGCTGCCAGCGGAGCCGCGGGCATCGGCTGTTGTGGTGGCAGAACCGGTGCCGCATCAGCGTGCTGCATCAGTTGACACAGCCCTGCCAGCTGTGCCGGCGGCAATGCTTGCGTCAGTGTGGTGAGGGACGCCAGCAACTGCTGCTGCCGCTGCTGCTGCTGCTGCTGCTGCTGCCGCTGCTGCTGCCGCTGCTGCTGGGCAAGGAGGGCGGCTGCCAGGGCTGCTGGCGGCACGCTGCCACTGGCCAGCAGGCCTTGCAGCAAGGCTGCCGCTGGCTGCGGCATGACGGCTGATGCGGCAGCAGCAACTGCAGCAGCAAACAGGTTGCCCTCGCTGCCTCCACAGGCCTGAAATGCCGAGTTGGCCCGAGGCTGCTGCAGGGTCGCCAAAGCCGGCAGCACATGGTGCTGCTGGTCACTGGCGCTGGCAGCGGCGGCAGTGAGCCCACAATAACCCCTGCCCGCGACTTCCGCTGCTGCTGCTGCTGCCACAGCCGCCACTGCTTCTGCCGCCACGGCTGACCGTGCCTGCTGCTGCTGCAGCTGCTGCTGCAGGAGCTGCTGCTGCAGCTGCTGCTGCTCCTCCTCCTCCTCTGCCTCTGCGGCCGCCAGCAGGGTGGACAGGGGGTTATCCTCTTCCTCCTCCGACTCTGGGGGAGCACCAACAGCGGCTCCCCCGGCCATCACGCCCGGGAATTGGGAGGATGGGTGAAGCCGGGCACGCTGCTCCAGCTGGTAGTGGGACTGCAGAAGCAGGAGGCACGCGCAGGACGGTTGGCAGCCTGCTATGTCTGCAAAAGGGTAACATCTCGCTGCAAGCTCATGCATGGCTCACGGCATTTTTTTGCAGCCACTCCTCGGCGCAGCTCACCTGCTGGGGCTGCTGTGCCTGCATGGCGTCAGCCACCGTCGCACAAGCAGCAGGTTGTGGCATGTCAGGGGGGGCCCACTGCGCCTGCCAGGCCCAGCTCGTCTCTGCCGCAGCCGCTGCCGGCGCTGCAGCACCAGGAACCGCCAGCTGCGGTGCTGGCATGGCTTGCAGCACAGCAACTACGTGCCGGCCGGCCCCTTGCTCTGGCACCCTGTTGCTTGCATCGCTGTGGATGCTGGCCATGTGGCGCTTGCTGGGGGATGACCCAGGGCTAAGCCCCGGCTCGCCACCATCCTCGCCGCCATCGGAGCCTGCAGGTGCAGGCCAGCATGCTGATGCTCAGCAGGCGGCTGTCATGGCGGCTGGGCCTAACCTGGTATGACAGGCAGCCACCAAGCAGCAGTGCAACAGGGAAACAGCACGGCGCAGCCGAGCGCACCTGCGAGCTCCTCCTCCCAGTGCCAGCTGGCGGGCCGGCTGCCGTCGCTGCACTTGCGCCGGCGGATGGCGTGCTTGCGCAGCCGGTCGCGGCAGGAACGGCGTGAGCCGTTGAACTTGGAGATCGGGTGGAAAGTGCCGCACTGCAGACGGGGCCGGGCTGAGGTGGGTGAAGATGAGTTTTGTTTAGTGGCTCTCGCCAGAGAAGGTTGCAAAAAGAGCACCGACCTGTTGGCAGAACCGCTGTTCCTGGCCCTTCAAGACGACCGACATTGCGTCGCGATGCTCAACGCAAATGCGATAGCGCTGCACACAGCCGCGTTTGCGGGTGGGAACAAGCCGGGGAGGTGTGAACAGCAGCAACATGTTCTCCTCAGGGAAGGAAAGCAGCAATGAAAAAGTGTTGGCAGCAACCACAGCCACAGCAACACCTCCCCAAGCGCCCCCCCAGGCGGTAGGGCGGGAACCCCTTGCACAGAGGGGGGGGGCCCCCAACTCTTTTGTTGCATTTTTTCAGGGGGGCCTTTTTTCCCTATGGATCCCCCGCTGATTCCCCCTGGGACCGCTTCACACAGGGAAGCTGTTTGAAGAACCCCCCCGTCCCCGGGAAAAGCTGTTCATCCATGTTCGGAGGCAAGCGGCCTGTTGTCCGGGCCCCTCCTCCCCCCGTCGCCCCCCCCCCCCCCCCCCCGCATCTCACCTGATAGTAGGCGGGCAGCGCGGCCAGCAGCAACCCGCACACTTGGCACTGCTTCGCTTTGGCGGGTCGCCCAGGGCGTCTTCGCTGTGGCGCAGCCTCCTCAGCGCCGCCACCTGTCTGTGTGCTGTTGTTGCTGGCGCTGCCGGGCATGCCCAGAAGGGACCCCGCGGCGAGCTGCAGGCCCAAAACCCCCGCCACTGTTCCCGGGCCGCTCATAACTCCGACCGCGTGCTTTTGATTGCCGCCAGGCCGTGCTGATGCTGGGAGCGACGCGGGAAAGAGGGAGAGGCGCAGGAATCGCGGGGCGGCGAGTGCCACTTGGTAGCGTGGTCGCGCTTGTTTGGGGCGGGGTGGTGTGCTGTGAAAATTAAGCGGCGATGGGGTGGGTGGCGGGACTGGCTTTGTGGGGAGGCTTCATCCATCATACGGGCATGCGTCGCCAGCTGCAACCAGCCAGCTCAGCCAGATGGCAGTCCTTGATGGAACCCCCCTGATGGGACCGCTCGTGGGCAACTGGGCCTCGCCGCCCGTGTCTGGACAAGTGTTCCCAAGGAGGCGCTCCGTGGGGCCTGGCAGCGCACATCCGCTTGTGCCCGGCTTGATTCGGCCTGCTGCACTAGCTCACACAACCCCAAGACACCCCACCTGCCGCTGTTGGACGTGCCCAGCAGCAAGTGCGCCGCCCCAGCAACAGCTCCTGCCGCTGCCCAACCCGCCTTCCGCTACTCCCGCCTTCCGCCACTCCCGCCTTCTACTAGTCCCGCCTCCTCGCCGCCTGGATGGCACTCTGAATGATCGCCAGCATCAAGAAGACCACCTTCCATAGGGAGGTCTACGAACCAGCCGAGGTAGGGGCCACCTCGCCGTGCTCGCCCTCCCATCCCCACCGATCCCGACTGCCTGCTTGCCTGCCGCTGCGACCTTGCAGGACAGCTTTGCGCTGGTGGATGCGCTTGCGGCACACCGGGAGGCCTGGCGGCAGCAGCCGCCCCGCATGTGAGCTGCCCTGCCCGCCCGCCTGCCTCCCCCTGGTCAGCGTGGATTTGCGCATTGATGGCTGTAGCACCCAGCCGTGCATCGTCCCATTTGCAGGTGCCTCGAGGTGGGCAGCGGCAGCGGCTATGTGATCACCTCCCTGGCACTGCTGCTCCAGCAGCTGGGTGTGGCGGCACAGCTGCTGGCAACCGACATCAACCAGCAGGCAGCCGCCGCCACAGCGGCCACCCTCGCTGCGCATCAGGTATGTGCATGACGTAAGGATGTGCATGACCTGCTTCGTGCTGATGTGCATGACCTGCTTCGCCTCGGTGCATGCGCGCTGTGCTGCACTGCCTCCCTTCACTGCTGGCACCAGCCTACCTCCCTCACAACCCCGACTCGTTTGCCTCCTTGCTGCCGTGACAGGTGCGACGAGCAGATATTGTGGTCTGTGACCTTGCCTCCGCCCTGCCACCAGTGGAGGGCCTGGTGGACGTGCTGGTGAGCCAGGGCTGGTCGTGCAAGCGACAGCACCGCTGTCGCGCTGCCGCGTACCGCTGGGGCACCTTGGCAGCCGGCGTGGATCGCTGCCTGGCGGGCTGGTTTTGCTGGCTGAACCCTCGCTAAGCGCAGGTGTTCAACCCGCCGTATGTGCCCACCCCGGATGAAGAGGTGTCGCGTGGCGGCCTGGCGGCGGCGTGGGCAGGCGGTGCGTGTGGCCGACGCGTCATCGACCGCCTGCTGCCGCTTGTGCCGTGCCTGCTGTCGGCCCAAGGCGAGATGTTCATGGTGGCAGTGCATGAGAATCAACCGGAAGGTGCGCAGTGCCGGAGGGCTTGGGGATTGATGAAGCAGCAGGACCTTGGCCAAGCGGGCTCGGCGGTTGCAGGTGTCAGCCATGTTGCATGCGTCCCGCGGGGCTGTGGCAGCTGGGCCCAGGCACAGGGCAAGCGCTGCCGCATTGCCTGGCCAGGATGTTGTGGGCGGCTTTCCCCGCCCCTGCATGCAGCAAGCGCACAAGGGGTCATTGCCCTGCCAGCTGGTACCCTTTTTCCCTTGCTGTCATACTCTCTATGCATGTATGCTGCAGAGCTCATGCGCCAGATGGAGGCGGCAGGTTTGGAGGCTCGCGTGGCGCTGCGGCGCAAGGCCGACGAGGAGCAGCTGACTATACTGCATTTCAGGCGGCGGCCTGAAGCAGCACACCGCGATAGAGAACCCGTCGGGAGAGGGGTGAGGGAGAGAGGCGCGTCGGAATGCTTGTAAATGCTGCCCTCTAGATAGTGGCGGTGGCTGGCGGTCAATGTGCCGTGCCCAGCTGGGCGTCAATTGGCGCAAGGCACTGTACAAGGCGCATGCTGCCCCACGCGGCAGGCCGACAATTTTGGGCAGCACCGCCAGCTTGCGGCCACCTTCAGATCAGAACTTTTCGGCATGCGCGCTGCACTCGCCCGACCACACCCACATCCGAGGCGTTATTCGCAACAAGCCTGGGCGAGTGAAAGTGTTGCCGTGCGCTCAGCATCATCGATCGCAGCAGCGAACACCGCAGAGAATCGAGCCCAGGGGGCCGCGGACCGCGTGGGCTGGCTGACAGGGAGTGAGCAAGCCGCAGGGGCCCAGAAATGTCGCGGACACCCACCGCAGTGGCGCAGAGGCGGATACAGGCGAGTTTTCTGTTTGCTCCTCTGCGTGGCAGGCGCTGGTGGGGGCAACGGCAGTAGCAGCTCCGCAGGCCCCGGCGCTATGTGGGTCATGGCTCCGCCCGCCCGCCGTCACTGCCGAGCGTCAGAGCTGACGCCCACGAGGGCCCGACCGCAACCCAGTAGCCACGGTGCAGCTGCGATGTACTGCAATCTGGTGCCGCCGCGCTGCAGTGTCCACTTGCCCTGTGGAGCTGCCGGCGTGCGAAGGCAGCGCCCGACTGCCCCCGCCCCCTGCCCTACAGAGTGAGCTGCGTGACTGGCTGCAGCACCCGCCGGATGGCTGCCGCCTGGTGCAGTATGACGATCTGAAGACCTGGGTGATAGAGCTGCAGGGGCCGGAGAGCCCGTGCCAGCCGCAGCTGTACATAGGTGCGTGGGCGATTCCCCAAGCATGGGAGCGACCGGCCCTCGTGCTCTCGGCTCGACAGGCCTGCGGCACGCATCGATATCGATATGGAGCTGCACCCGCTCCCATCCCCAGCAGCCGCACATCCCGCCAGCCAGGCAGCCACGGCAGCCACCACCGAGGTTGCTGTGCCCTGACCCCGCAAGCCCCAGCATGCACTTTGCCCCTGTCGGTTTGCTGTAGCGCTGCCAGCATGAGCTTGTGTCCTCTGCTGTGCCATGGGCGCAGGCCAGTCCTACCACCTGCGCATCCTGTTCTCGGAGCGCTACCCGCTGGAGCCTCCGGAGGTGACGTTTGTGCCGCCCAGCCCCGTCCACCCGCACATCTACAGCAACGGACACATCTGCCTGGACATCCTGTGAGTGGGCCAGGGCAGGGCAGGGCAGGGTTGCTGTGTTGTTAGTCTCTGCATGCTGGCTCCGCCCAAGCCTGGCCAGCATTGCTGCTCGATGTTGTGCTGCCGAAAGGTGCAGGTACGATGGGCACAATGGCGGCTGGAGCCCAGCGTTGACAATCAATAAAGTGGCCCTGAGCCTACGCAGGTATGTTGAGGCGGGTAGTCAGGGCGGGGGGGCTGTCTTAAGGTTGCGCTGCACCTACTTGTGTGCGCTATTCGTGGGCCTTTTCAGCGCCAGGCGAGTGCCTCCTGCCCCTTCAATTCCCTGTCCCGTCCTGCCCTGCTGCAGCATGCTCGCTAGCAACACCGACAGGCGGCGGCCGCCGGGGGATGCAGATTACTGCGCGCGGATGCGGGGGCGCTCGCCCAAGGAGACACGGTGAGCGGAGGGGCAGCTGTGGTGGCAACTCGATTAGTGCTGTACGCCGGCCCAGCTGATGCGTGTGCCCAGCTGATGCGTTTGCCCGGTCGCCGCTTACCCTTGTGTCGTGTTATCCCTGCTGTCCAGCTGGATCTTCGAGGATTCAACGGTGTAGCGACAAAACAATAATCGCACCAAACCACTCTGGCAAAATCCCACCATGGCCAACGTCCACTTAGGCGTTCTCGTCACCTGCTGTGGCCAACTTTCTGCCTACTGTTTGACTCATCACCCCTGCTGTACCAACCTCATGCAAATACAAGCACAGCAACGAAAAGCGGAGCAGGTGCAGTCGGCTGGGGTGTCGAAGAGAGGGGGCGCTCGAGTGCTGCCTCCCATCCCTTGGGTAACATATACTGGTTGGTCTGCACGCGGCAGCACTGAAGTGTTGGCCACCAGGCATCCCGATGCAGCTGGTACACTCTGGTTGTGTTGTTTGCAAGAACTGATGTTTCCATTTGCGCAATTAAGCAGGTGCCACCCACGCCGTTGCAGCTGGGTGGGGTGGCATGGCTGGCAAACAAACGCAGCGAGTCAACAAGAAAGGGGCTCAATAAGCCGGCTCTCACAAGATTTGATAGGTAAGTACTACAGTTGGGGTTGTCCCGCAGCAGAGAGAGGGTTCCAGGAGTGCGGGCTGGCAGCGCAGGTGAAAAAACGATGCCACCCACCGGCCAATCTAGTCTATCAAAAAAGGCGCGTGGGGCGAGCACTCTTAGGGGCGAGCGCTCGCCGCTACTGCAGGAGCGGGCACATTCACAGTCACGCACGCACAGCACGCAGCCGTGGCGCCGGTAACTGCGGTGCCGTCGTCCACTCGTTAGCTCCCCCATCCTCCTCACCCTGCTGCATCCTGCCCGCTGCATCCATCCCCGCGCTTTTCCTCCTCGCCCTCACACGAAGTACACGTCTGTGCCGTCCCCCTTGGTGATGATGTCCTTGAAGGAGCCGCCGCCTGGGATCATGGGCAGCACGTGCTGGATGTGCGGCACCATCACGTCCAGCAGGTATGGGCCGGGCGTGTCGAGCATCTCGCGGATGGCCGCGCTGCAGGGGCAGCAGGCAGGGCGTGCAGGGACAAGCTGAGGAGGGGGCTTTGGAGGGCACGAGAGGAGCAAAACAAAGCAGCGAGGCCGGCCCGGCTGCCTGGCTGCCGGGCTGGCGGGCGCAGCTCCAGCGAGGCACTAGGGGCAGCCGCGGGCGGCATGCCAATGCTGCGCTCGGGCGCTGCCTGGGCGCGTCCCTGATCGCCCCCAGCAGCCCCATCCGGCGCCTTACCGCAGCTCGCTGGGGTGTGTGACCCTCTTGGCAGGCACTTTAAAGGCGTCAGCCATCTTCACGAAGTCTGGGAAGATGTCCTGCACGTTGCCCGTCACCTGGTACTCGCCCTCCTGCGGTAAGGGGGCGGTATGGGCGGGTCGGGAGGCGGTACAGGCAGGGGCCAAGAGGCGGCGCTGGCAGGCAAGAAAGACGGCGGCGGCCTGCCAACGCAGAGGGGCCGGCGCCCTGCTTCCCAGCCCGCGGATTTCCGCCGCTGCCTCCACTCACCCGGCGACCCAGGTATGTGTGCGCGCGGTTGGCCTTGTAAAACCGATCCTCCCACTGCAGTCGGCGGAAACAGGGGGCCTGGAAGGGCAGGGTTGGCAACGGGTCACACAACACTGCCAAGCCCTCAGGCCGCCACACATGCGGCAGCAGGAGCAGCCGCCGTTTGGCCTGCCCCCTTGCAGGCCGGCGCCAGGCGCCAGGCACCAGGCCGTGCCATACCACCCACCTGCATCACCATTCCCAGGTACTGGTTGTTGAGGATGAACACCTTCGTGCCCAGCTGCTCCACGCTGGCCGTGGCAAGCTCTTGGCAGTTCATGATGAAGCTGCAGGGGGGAAGAGCGCGGGCAGAGGACACGGTTCTGTGCTTGTTGTGTGCTGGTGTGTGTATGTGCGAGGATGTGGGTGGGGAGGTGGGACGCAGGCAATGCGCCAATGTTGCTGGTCGGTGAGCGGCAGCGTGCTAAGGCACAGGGTGGGCCGCGCAGTTGGTCAGGTGGAAAGGTAGGATGGAGGAAGCAGGGGCCGCACCTGCCGTCGCCGTCAATGTCAACCACCAATTTGCTAGGCCGCCCGTCCCTGCCGTCGAATGCTGCTGCCGCGCCCAGGGCTGCAGAGAGAGCAAGCATGGGCAGATTGGCAGGCACACCCACAGCCGGCTGCAGGTGTCCACGCAAACACCACAGACATGCACATGGCGCCAACACGCAGCGCAGTGGTAGCTAGTCTGCTGCTTCACAACAGCAGCAGCGGCGGCGGCAGCGGCAGCGGCGGCAGGGCCCCACCCGAGGGCAGGCCGAAGCCCATGCTGCCGAGGCCGCCGCTGGTGGCCCACCGCCGCGGCTCCCGGAACTTGTAGTACTGCGCCGCCCACATCTGGTGCTGCCCCACGCCGGTGGTGATGATGGCGTCGCCCTTGCTCTCCTCGTACAGCACCTGCGGGGCGGGGAGGAACAGAATGGATGAGAGAAGGCGGGGAGGAGCGCATGTGGGCAGGCAACGAGGAGAGGAGCGCCCGACCCAGGCAGGGGCCCGACCGGCAGGCCAGCAGGCCAGCTGGGGTGCGGCTGGCGGGGCGGGGGCGCACCTCGATGGCCCACTGCGGCATGATGACGTCGTCGTGCTGCGGGTAAGCCAGCGGGTTCTCTTCCTTCATCGCCATCACCTCCGCCACCCAGTCAGCGTACTGCAGGGGCCACAACGCGAGGCAGGGGCACGGGACGGGGTGCAGAGGGAACATGAGGGACCATGGAAGGAAACGGCGGCGAAAACAAGAAAGGGGAGATAGAGAGGAGGGCAGGGCGCGGGAGGGCGCCCCAACCAATGGAAACGCGGCAGGCAGGAACGCAGGCGAGCAGGGGCCCACGCCTGCCACCCCACAACCAGCCCCGCAGCAGCAGTGCCGCGGCGCAGCCTGCCCCCCAAACAGCACGCACGAAGCCGCCGCCGGCCGCCCCGCCGCTCACCCCGCTGCGGTCCATGGGCGTCTGGCTGAGCAGCCTGTTGAGAATCTGCAGGGCGGGCTTGATGTCTGCGCAGACGGGGATGTGGGCATCCTTGTTCTTGTGGATCTCTGCCGGGTCGATGTCGATGTGCACGATGCGCGCGTTGGCGGCAAACGCCTCCAGCTTGCCTGCGCGGGCGGGGCGGCGGCGCGGCGGGGTGGGCACGAGGCGCGCAGGGTCGGGAGGGGCGCGGCAGGGGGGGCTGGGCAGCGGGCGCGGGCGCGGGCGCCGGAAATGGCTCCCTCGGGAACCCCGCCCCGCAACACACGCAACACTGATCATACCACTCCAGCCCCACGCGCTGCCCGACCACCCCGCCCCTGGCCTGCCCAGCCTCCCCCGCCGCGCGCACCCGTCACGCGGTCGTCAAAGCGGGCCCCAAAGGCGAGCAGCAGGTCTGCCTCGTTGACGGCAAAGTTGGCGGCCACGGTGCCGTGCATGCCCAGCATCTGCAGCGCCAGCGGGTCCTGCTCCGGGAAGGAGCCCAGCGCCATCAGCGTCTGCGCCACGGGGATCCCCGTGTGCTGCACAAACTCTATCACCTCCGCGGCTGCAGCGGCGCGCACGGGCGGGCGGAGGCAGGGGGAGGCACGCGGGGGGGGAGTGTGGATGGGGGCGGGCGGATGGCTGCTCAGCCTGGTGCCGTGGTGCCTTGCTGTGCAGTGCCCCCCTTCCCCAGCCCTCCGCCTCTTAGCCCATCGCTCTCAGTCCGCCGTGCAGCCCGAGGACCCCATCCCTCTCCCTGCGCCAACGCCTCACCCGAGTCCACGCAGCCGCCGCCGACGTAGAGGGCGGGGCGCTTGGAGCCGCGGATCGCGTCCAGCACCTGCTGCAGCTGCGCCTCCTGCGGCGGCGGCGGCAGGCGGCTCATGTAGGCGGAGATGGTCATGGGGGAGTCCCAGTCGGGCACATCCAGCGTCTGCTGCACGTCCTTGGGCACATCGACCAGCACGGGGCCTGCAGGCGGGATGGGGGCGGGGGCGAGGGAGCTGTCATGGGTTAGGAGTGGAGCGGGGTTGCGTGGCACACAAGGGACGCCCAGCGCCCCGCACTCCGCATGGCGGCCGGCACCTGGCAGGCCGGGAGGCTGGGCCAGTACGCCGGCCCACCCGCACAAACCCTGCGGCCCAGCGACCGCGAACCGCGCAGCAACAGGCAGCGCACCTGGGCGGCCGGTGCGTGCCAGGTAGAAGGCTTCCTTGATGATGCGAGGGATGTCCTTCACATCCATGACCAGGAAGTTGTGCTTGGTGATCTGGCGGGTGACCTGCAGGGCGGGTGGGGCAGCGCCGCCGCAGGGGTGAGCGGCCCAGGTGGCGGGTGCTCCACAGCTGCGCAGCTGGTGCATGGTGGGCACGTGCAGCCTGGGCGTCACGCTGCCCGGCGGACACAGCCAACCGTAAGGGCAGGCCACGCCAGGCCAGCAACCCACCGCCGCACAATCAAGCAGGCGGCAGCCAGCCCCAGCCCCAACAGCCAGCCCCAACACGCGGCCACGGCAGCCAGCCACAGCAGCACCCCAGCCGCAGCCAGCACCCCAGCCGCAGCCAGCACCCCAGCACCTCCACCCGTGCCGCACCTCCACGATGGGCGTCTCCTGGAAGGCGTCCGACCCGATGAGCTTGCGCGGCACCTGCCCCGTGATGGCCACCAGCGGCACCGAGTCCAGCAGCGCGTCCGCCAGGCCGGTGACCAGGTTGGTGGCGCCGGGGCCGGAGGTGGCGATGCAGACGCCCACGCGCCCCGTCACCTTGGCGTACCCCTCTGCCGCAAAGATCTCGCCCTGCTCGTGGCGGCACAGGATGTTGCGGATGGAGTCGGAGCGGGTGAGGGCCTGGTGGATCTCCATGGAGGCGCCGCCAGGGTAGGCAAACAGTGTGTCCACGCCCTCGCGCTCCAGGGCCTGCGTGCGGCAAAGGCAGGGGGCACGCCGGCGAGCGGCTGGCTCCAAAGGGCGGGTGGGGGATGGAGCCACGGCGGGCGGGCTGGGTGGGCTGCCGCTGCTCGCGCGCCCTCCGCACGTGCTGCTGCACGTCTGCCCAACAGCCTCGCCGCCAGGTTCCCACAACAGCCAGCTGCCCTGCCATGTCTGCCTGAGACTGAGAGAGCTGACCCCCGCTGCTGGTTCCGGCGCCCCAGCTCCACGCATCGCCAGCTCAACTGCACCATGATGCCTGCTGCCACACCACCGTTCTGGCTGGCCACCTGCTGCCGCTGGCCGGGAGCCTTCCACACAAACCCTTGGCCCATGCATCCAAAAGCTTGCCGCCTGGCCTTGCTGCCAAGCACCCCAACCTGCTCCGCAGCGCTGCTCCCCTTGCAGCACTCCCACACACACTCATCAGCGCGCAGCCTTGCTGCAGCGGACCCTCGATGCTGCCCCCACCACGCAACCCCGCCACATCCACCCACCCCAGGCAACCGCACCTGCACCAGGATGTCGGAACCCTTGCGGGCCTGGCCGTTGAACCGGTCCACCCACTCCACGGGAGGCTCAGATGCCAGGGACGCCTGTGCTGCCTGCCGCGCCGCCTCCAGCTGCACATGGGCCGGGCAGCAGCAAACGCGGGTCGGCACGCAGCCGGTGTGCAGGGGGAGAGGAAAGGCAGGCGGCGGGTGCGGGGGCTACAGGCAGCTGCTGCTGCGGGGTGGTGTTGAGGGCATTTCAAGGCGGCACTGGCAGGAGCTGCATGGCGCGCTGCGCGATCAGATGAGTCTGGCGGGTGGGCCCCACGGCGCCGGCGCACCTCTGCCTTGCTGGCCTTGTTGGCCTTGTTAGAGAAGTCTTTGGCCATAGTGGCGCATGTCTGCAGCGCTGACCGTTCCGGCCTGCAGCTCAGCGGCAGGGGGAAGGGAAGGGTTTGCATGCAGGCGTGCAGACACAGCCGGCAAGCTGGACCCAACGCCTATCCGCAGCGGCGGCGGCCACACTGCGGCGCCGCCCCTGGCTGACCCGATGCCTCGCGCGCACCTGACGTGCTGCGGCCGCTGCTGGATCCTGCTGGGGGCGAACTGGGTGGGGAGCGCCTGCAGGGGGGCGTTCAACCCCGCGAGTGTGAGTGACACATGGGCGGCGGTCGCATGCAGCGGGAGGCGGGCTGGGGCACTCACCCTGGCTGCCCGAGGTCGGCAGGAGCCGGTCAGGCTGCTGCAGCTGGCCTCCATAGCCATGCTGGCTGCGGTGCTCTGCATGATGGCTTGGCGTGCCCAGGGCCCGCCTGCACTGTGCCTATGTGTGTTGGGTGACCTGCTGAAAGGGCTGGTGGGTCGGGTGGGGCTCCTTTGTGCCGCGCTGCCCGGGTCCCGTGCCCCGTGTCACGCCGCCATTTTGATGATTTGTCAAGGGAGGTCACGGCGGTCTGAACCCCGCCGCTCAAGCTTTGCAGCCGCCGGGTCCGTGCGGCCTCCCCCCGTCGCCGCCGCCTCATCCTGGCACGCCACTGGGCAACAACTGTAGCGTGAGCTGCAGCAGCGGTGGTTGCTGCTGAAATTACAGTATAATGCATGGATTGGGCTGCGATACCGAACAGCTTCTTGCGGCTGGGCTGGGCGAGTGGAGGGGCGCCGGTGGCAGTGGGCGCGCGGCGCTCGAGCAGACCACACCGGACAAACGTCTCCCAGCGGCATGAGCCACATGATAGGCCAAGCAATGCCACCATCACAGCCACACATCCCAGCGGGGCGTCCTGGGGGAAACACAGAAACGAGTCCGGGTGCGGAAGGAGGGGCAACCATCAGTCCCTGGCCATGTTTGAGGTAGGGGACGGAGGGAGGCTTGCACGCTGACTGAGTGCTGGTGCCACCAGCATGCGTGATTGAACTATCCACAGATGTTCTACTGCTGACGTCGCACCATCAGCTAAAGGTTCCAGGGGCCCGTTCAAGAGTCAATAACAGAGGTGGTGGCGGCAGGCAAGATGGCAGGCGGCGGCCAGTGGCAGCCAACCGACAGCAGCTTTGCTGCCTTCGCATGCTCACCATCCGTGTGGCTGCCCAGGATGCCAACCCCGCGCTCCCGAGAAAGGGTAGCAGTGGCAACGATCGGGCCCCGGAGGCTGCCCTGCTTCCCTGAGGGCGGACAACCTCAGCGATGCTGAAATGCAGGCCGTTGGTGAACCTGCGGCGAGAAGGCTCTCAATCGTGCTTTGGCGTGCTGGGCAAGGGTCGATATCCTGCCCCATCCAGCAAGCCTCTGGAAGTAGACTCGCTCCGTGCTTTCCCGCCGCTCCTGCATCACCTCTGGGACTACCTCGTCCCATTGCCAGCATCCCAGAGAGCTGCAGCGCGGAGCACCCTCGGGTTCACTTGCCAGCGGCAGCCATGGCGCTGCACCTGGGCGCCCCGCTGGGTTCCGCTGCCCTCCAGGGCACCAGGGTGCCGTTGAGCAGCCCCAGCCCCGCCCCCAGCAACGGCCGAGCCCGCCCGCGTGTCAGCTGCCAGGCCACCTTTGGAGCCCCGAAACCAGCGGGCCAGCGGGTGCGGGAGCAATCCCCCAGCAAAGTGCAGGCCCTGGCAGCGCCGGCGGTCGAGCGGGAGCTGCTGCTGCCAGCGCAACCCTCGCCGCCCGCCCAACAGCCAGCGCACACGTCCAGCAACATTCTGGAAGTGCGCCGGTCGGAGCTGGAGCTGCAACGGTCGGAGCTAGAGCGCTTGCTGCACCACGAGGCAGCGCCGGCGTTTGAGGAGGCAGAGCAGCAGCAGCAGGAGGAGCAGCAGCAGCAACCGCAGCGAGGGGACGCCACAGCGGCAGAGGCGCAGGAGCGGCAGCAGCGGTCTGCAGCCGTCTCTACTACGGGCCAGGGGCAGCTGCAGCAGCAGCGGCGCGCACGGTTGGTGACCAGCACGCGTCACTCGCGTGGCGCGGCTGCGTCGGCGGCTGCGTCCGCGGCGTCCGTCACCACGCGCGACACCGCAGCGTTGCAGGCCTCCGTGGCAAGCAGGACAGCAGCCACCTCTGCAGCCCTCACCTCCTGGCTGCTGGACTGCCGCAGCCGGCGGGAGCGGCGCGCAGTGCAGCCGCTGGCGCCGCAGTCGCGCCGCGCCGCTTCGGCGGCCGCGCAGCCTAGGGCCCGCGGTGGCGCGGCGGCGCCGGCGGTGCAGCTGGAGCCGGGGGCGCTGCAGGGGCTGTCCCAGGACACGCAGGAGGACATGGTAGTGCTGATCAACACGCGCGCCACGCTGCGCTGCGGGCGCCGCACGCGGCGCGGCAGCGGCAAGGTGTCCCGCAGCAGGTGTGCTGCCGGCGGGGGTGGGGAGGCGTGAGGCCTGCTTTTTGTGGGGCCTTGCAGTGAATCACGGTGCATGCATCTGCGCCATGCATCTGCGCCACGCGTCTGCACCATTCTGTTTAATCCTGCCGCCGTCGTCGCCGCACACGCCTGCCCTGTCGCCCTGCCTGCCGTGCACCCAGGCCCTCACTTCCCTCCCCTCCCCTCGCCCGCCCGCAGCGGCAGCGACATCATGAGCACCTACATGCGCAACCTGGGCAACACCGCGGTGCTGAGCCGGCAGCAGGAGGCGGCGCTGGCGGGCATCCTGCAGCGCGGCATCCAGCTGCAGGCGCTGGCGGAGCGGCTGGCGGCGGAGCGTGGGTGCGACGTGGCGGCGGTGGACGCCGCGGCGCTGGCAGCTGCCGCGGGGCTGCCCTCTGCCGCCGACGTGGCGCAGCGGCTGGCCAACCAGCGCGAGGCCAAGGACCTGCTCATGCAGTACAACGTCAGGCTGGTCATCAACATCGCCAAGCGCTACGTCGGCAACGGCATCGACATTGTGGACCTCATCCCAGGTGCATGCGGGTGTGGCTGCGTGCTGCGCCTTGGGCGGTCTCGTGTTGGGGCGCCCCCTTTCATCCACCCAGCCTGGCCGGGTGTTTGTGCTTGTTCCTCCTGCCCCCGCGCCCGTCCCCCACCCGCGAGGCCTCACGCTGCCCCCCCGCTCACCTGCCTGCAGAGGGCCTGGTGGGGCTCAGCAAGTCGCTGGACCGCTTTGACGCCTCCAAGGGCTTCAAGTTCTCCACCTACGCACACTGGTGGATCCGCCAGTCCATCTCCCGCGCCGTGTGCGGTGAGCCACGCCGCTGCCCCTGAACCCCGGCTGCACCGTGGGCCGCTACACGCGGCAGCAGCCGTGCTGCCACCTCCTCCTGGCTGTTCTGCCGCTGAGTCTGTGTGTGGCCTGGGTTGTATGTATTTGTTTGCCCCCGCAGACCAGGCGCGCGTGGTGCGGCTGCCCAGCCACGTGTGCGAGACGCTGTACCGCATCAACCGCGCCATCACGTCCATGACGGAGCAGGTGTGGGGTGGAAAGAAGAGCAGCTGTGGGCGGTCTGTGTGGTCCTCACCCAATCTTGCCGCTTCCTGCCCAGCCCAGGCTGCTGGGTGTGCCCCTCACCTGCACACCTCTCTCCCCTGCTGCGCTCTGACCCCGTCTTCCTGCCCTCACGTCCCACCCTCCTCCCCATCTGCCTGATGCAGAGCGAGCGCGACGAGATGCCCAGCTATGAGGAGATTGCGGCCGCCGTGGACCTGCCGGTGCGCCGCGTCATCCACTACCTCCGCCTCTCCAAGCTGCCTGGCGGCGCCGCGTCGGCCCGCGACCGCCCCACCCAATACCTCTCTGGCTCCTCGCTCAAGGTGCGGCGGCGGCGGGCTGCCGGGCGCTTCCACCCACGGGTTGGCCGCCGGCGCTGGGCCTGCCATCTCTGCCTGCTCCCCTCCCATGCCATTGCTCACCCTGGCCGCACGCCCCGCCGCTGTTCCGCCGCTGTACCGCAGGAGGTGACGTACGAGGCGCTGGAGGACTGCGCGGAGGATGAGGACCCCGGGGAGGAGGGGGAGGAGGAGGAGGCGCAGCACGAGTCCATCCGCCAGATGACCGACCTGCTGCTGTCCACGCTGGAGAAGCGGGAGCGCAACATCCTGCGCCTGCGCTACGGCCTGCTGGGGTGAGCCCGCCCGCCTGGTTGCCGGCCTGAGGTCTGGTGCCTGCCGCAGCCTGCCATGCACGCCTGCCCGCTCGCCACCTGCCTGTGGAGCATGCTGAGCGACTGACCTGGGCTGGCCTGCTGCTTGCTGCAGGTGGGGCCCTGCGGCTGGCGGCCTGTCCTGGGACGACAACGTGGATGGCGGCAGCATGAGCCTCGGAGTGAGCGCCTGCTGCAGGGTGCCGTGCTTGCTGGGCGCTTGACGATCCAGCGCTGGGCGCCTCAGTGCCCCATGCATGTTGCGTGTGCTCGCTGCTGCTGCCAAGGCGCGGCCCCTCACCTGCCCTGCCCCTGCCGTCCTGTGCTGCAGGAGGTAGCCAGCGCGTATGGGCTCAGCAAGGAGCGTATTCGCCAGATTGAGGACAAGGCGATGCGGGCGCTGCGCAAGCCCTGGCGCCAGCAGCTGGCCCAGGAGATCAAGTTTGGGGAGCCCATCAGCCCCAGCAACCTCTCCCACTTGGCCTCGGCGCAGCAGATGGCGACGGAGGAGGGCAGCTGGCCCTGAGCGGGACGTGCCCCGGCCAAACCCAACCTGCGTCGCTGCAGCACAGCGGCGGCGGCAACCCACGCAACGGCACCATTCAACGAATGAACACACTGGCCCAGGTGACCAAAAAACCACGCCTCCCCGAGAAGACCACTGCCCCTCACCCGGGGCGCCATTTTGCCCCTTCCAGCCACCCGCCCACCGTGCCCGCTGCAGTCGGCGTGCGTGTTTTTTGTGTCTGTCACTATGCTTTGCCTCCTCAATATGCCGGGGCGTGCAGCCCTCCATGGTTTTTGTGCTTGTGCTCGTCGCGTCCTCCCCCGTGTGTATCCTGCCCTCGTTTGCTCTGCCGTCATCTCGCTCCCAGCATGCACCCTTGAATTCTGCCCAGCATCACTTCCCGCCGCCTGGCCCTGCCCAAACTCTTCCAGCCCCACCACTGCAGTCGTTTTACCCTGTCCAGTCTGCAACCAAACCGCCTCTTTGATTCCCAGCGGCCCACCGCTGCCCCCGGAATTTGGTTCTGGTGCCCGCCCACGCTGCACGCTGCGCCTTTTGCTGTGCTGCAGCAGCAGGAGCGCACACCGCGTTACGTCATGTCCCATCCCATCCTAATGTGTGGTGTTGCCTTGGCCCCAGCAGGGCACTTTCTGTATCACATGCCCCTTACTACCCAATACTCTAGTCGCTGTGCCAGCCTGCCTCTGGCATTGGCCAGCTAGCGATGTACACTACAGCATGCATCACTCATTGAAGTGTAACAATCAGTAGGCAAAGATGCCCTCGGCGGCCCTGAGCAGGGCGATGGGGCTGGCATGGTGGCAGTGCGTCCCCCAGCTGAGTTGCTGGAGGGAAAAGCTCGACCAGGTGCTGGAACAGGTTGTAGAACAACTAAGCCAGGGTGTGGAGCCATGAGGAGGGAGGCAGGCACAGTGGGGAAGGGTTTGGGTTGGTTGCGGCGGCACCGCCACGCTGGCGGCGGGCGGGTTTTCAACAAGCGCAGGCATAGGCCGCAAAACTGCCTCGCAGTGCCTCCTGTAGGGGCTTTACACAGCACAGGCGGCGAGCACTCGCAACCTCCCCAGCTCCCTTCAACCTTGCCTCGCGATGGAGGTGCCCAGCTTGCTGCGGCAGCGTTGGATGGCGATCTTGCTCATCGCGGCGGCGTTGTCCTGGGCGTACAAGACCCATCGGTGGGGTCTTGTACGCCCAGCGAGCCGATGCCCGACTCTCACAGCCGCCCAGCGAGCCAGCATCGCAGGTGAGACCCTCGGATCCGCGCTGAGGGTCAGTTGGGGGCGACAGCAGCTGTGTCGGTGGCAGCGCTGGGAGGTTTGGGGAGAGCGGGCGGGAGCCCGAGCCTGCCACTGACCGCGCCTGGTGCCCCGCTCATTCCCTGCAGCTACATCACCGGCCTCCTCGATTTTGTTGCTCTCTACACCCAAACAGCGGCACCCAGCGCTGCGGACATGCTAGAGCACGAACTGGGTGTCCACACAAGATGCTACACAAGCCAAGTCGCGCGTGAGTGGCGACAGGCCAGCCCCACATGCCTGTCGTGCAGTGCATGGCGGCCCGTGGGGACGTTCTTGCCTCTCACATGCACATCGCTCATGCCCGGCCTGCTGCAGTGGTGACCTACTACTGCGGCAGCGCCGCCACCAGCGGCGAGGAGGGCGACGTGTACGGCAGCAAACAACTGCTGTCTCTGCTGGGAGTGCTCCGCGACTCGCCCCCAGCGGTCCGCGCCTCAGCCATCCGAGGGCTGCTGGCGTTGGGTCCAGGGCTCACACGGGCCGGCTCCAGGTGGCAGCAGCAGGCGCAGCAGCAGAATGACAACTCTTGGTATTCTGGCCTTGATGATGATTATGAGGAGGACGAGGAGCTGTGGGGGTGGGCTGAGGAGGAAGCTGAGGAGGGAGACGATGAGGCACTCGCCGGCTCGGTGCAGCAGCTGGCGGGCTGGGATGGGCAGCCGCTGCCGCAGCTCATCTTCCGATGCCACGTGTATGGCGACATGGATTTGGTGCGCTGCCAGCAGCCGTGCTGGTCCCGGCAGCGCTGTGCATTAGGGATAGCTGCGGCAAAGGTTCGGCCAGATGATTGCCACTTGGGTTCGCCTCACGCCTGCGTTCCTGCCCTGGCTCGAACCCACTGCTGCATGCAGTCTGGGCACACCTTTGTCATTGCCATGCAGCCCGACGGCATGGTGTTTGATGTGTATCAGGTGGGAGGCGGGGGTGGCCATCAGGAGTGCGACTCAATTGTACATGTGAAAAGTGCAAGAGGGGTAGTGCAGTTTGGCAGCACACTCTGAAGCCACATCTGCACGGTGCCATGCCAAACTGACTGCTCTCATTGCCCCACCCCCATGGTGGCTGCGTCTGCGCAGTCTTTCATCGGGGCCTACACGCTGCACGAGTACCTGTATGACAATCCCAAGGCGCTGAGCTACGAGGAGATGGTGCAGGTAGGCCTGTCAGGGCGACTCATGGCTGGAGTATTCCCAGCAATTGCAACATAAAGCAGCTGCCGTGCCCTCCAGTGCTGCTGCTGCATTGTCTGCTGTGCAGTTTTTGGAGGACATGCAGGCCATTGAAGCAGCAGAGACATGGAACCGGCAGATCGATCAGACGTACTGTTCGGGGTGCGCCACTCAGTGGTTGCTCGGTTTGCCATGTTTCGATCCCAGCGTATGGCGACATTAGCAGCAGCGATGAACTGGCCTTGTCCAGCCACCTGGCTGCCTGGCTGGCCTGCAGGTCTCACTCTCCCGCAGCAAGGGCTATGGCGGCGTGCGGCTGGGTCAGCCGGGCCAAGAGGTGCCTCGTGCCCCCTCCCGTCACAGCGGTGGGATGAGGGCCTGGAAGCGAGGCCAGGGCAAGGTGAGCTCAGTTGTGGGCAAGGACGAGATCCTCCCAGAAAGTGTATGCGTGGCAGGTGTATGTGTAGTATGGATCCTGCACTGTGCTAGATTGTGAGCTGATGTGCTGCAGCACTGCTGGTGCTGTTGTAGGCTCTGCTCTTCAAGTGGGGCCTGGTCTGCGCCATCCCCCCCAGCGCATCTGCCACAGCCTGATGCTCCTGGGTGCGGCTGGAGAAACGCGGGGATCAACAGCAGACCGCCTGCTGATGTGGCGCAGGCAGCATCTAGTCATCAATTCTTGTTCATGCTGATGTTCATAGCTATACTTGGACATTGAACTCTGTACGTTTTCAGACCCTCTCGAACGAGCGGGCAGGAAGTTGCAGTTCAGCTCAAGTTGACTGCACTTGCAGACAGGAGGGAGTGGTATCTCTATCATTGAATCGAGACAGTGGATTGGTTCAGGGATGTGTAGAGTGAGGGGGCCGCCAGCACAGTGCACTGGGATTGAGGACGCACTTCGGCGGGCGGCGCCTGCACGCTGCCTGCGACGCGGCTTGGTTGTCACCCCATCCTGGGCGCAGGCCCCCGGTGCAATCGTAGCACTCTTACCGTTGCTCGCTGACCATTCTGCATTCCGCTTGGCACCACCTGCGCTTGCCCCCAGCAAAACAGCCGACCCCACCTGTCTGCGGCTCTTGGGGTTGGCCGCGCCAGCGGCAACCTTATGCACCTCGCCCTCCCAGCAGCTCGATGTCACGCGGCCTGCTGGGGGCGGGGGCGGGTGCAGCGGGCGCCACCCTCTACCTGAAGCCGGAGATTGTTCAGGACTATGTCAAGGAGCTCGTTTTCGGGCCGCGGCCCAGCGCCGGCGCCCTGACGGACGGGGTGGGCAAGGAGCTGGAGCACCTGCAGCGCCTGGTGAGTCACGCGCTCTCGCCGCCGCTGGCAGGCGCCACTGGCGGCGCCTACCGCGTTCGCCTACCACGTTCGCCTACCACGTTCGTGCGGCGTGCGGCCTTGAACCCCTGCTGCGCTGCTGCCCATCGGCGCGCACCTTCTGCTGCCCATCATGGCACCGCCGAGGCTTGGGTTGCCGCTCGCTGCCGGCGCTGGCCAAGCCTTGCCGCGTGCTGGCGCCATAAACGCACCGTGTGCCCGCTCGTCCCACCGCCCCCGCAGGTGGAAGACCTGTCCCGCCAGGTGGCGGCCACCAGCAAGCAGCCGGGCGTGACGGTGGTGCACACGGGCGCCGACCGCGGCGGCAGCTACATCCTGTACGGCTCCGCGGCGGCGGGGCTGGGCGTAGTGCTGTACTTCCGTGTACTGCGGGGCTGGACCTTTGGCGACATGCTGTATGCCACGCGCCGAGGCCTGCGCGACGGCCTCAACCAGGTCTCCGCAGGTCCGTGGGTGGCACGCCAGGGCGCAGCGGGACGGCGCCGGGAGCGGGAGCGGGAGCGGGGGCGTGTGCCAGGCCAGGGGCCGCGAGCGCGTCCTGACCAGCAAGCATGCTGGCTGGGGCGGCGGGGCTGCCTCCCCGCCTGCTTGCTTGCGGGTCAGGCTAGGCGCAAGTCCCGTGCTCCACCCGCCTGGACAGCCTCGCCCAGCTGCCGCTGCCGCTGTCGCGCGCCGCCGCCGCTGTGCCGCAGGGCTTGAGCAGCTGGGGGCCAAGGTGCAGGAGGTCAAGGCCAGGCTGCAGGAGCGGATCGCACACGTGGTGCGCAAGCAGGAGGAGATGCTGGCGGTGCAGGCGGAGATGCAGGCGGCGCTGACGGGGGTGGGGCGCGACGTGGAGCACACGCGCGGCCAAGTGGGGCAGGTGCGCCGCTGCGGTGGCAGCCGCTATGTCGGGCGGCAGCAGAAGCCAGTCCTTGCGCGTGCCGCTGTGGCGCTCGCTGCCGGATGCGCCGCATCCGGCGCTGTGCGTCAATTCAGCGCCTGCCGCCGTGCCGCCGCCGCCTGCTATCGATGCTGCCTGCCGCCCTGCCGCCTTGGGCCTGCGTGCACGCCTGCCTGCCTGCCTGCCGTCCCTCGCTGCAGATCCACGCTGTGGTCATGGACCTGGAGGCCAGCATGGCTGAGGTGGGGGTCAACCAGCGGCACGCCAACCACGGCATCTATGTCCTCTGCAAGGCAGTCAGGTGCGGGGGCCGGCCGGCGCTGGTCTGTATATACCAAGGGCGGCGTGCCCTGGTAGTTTTTTCCGGCGAGGGTTACACGCCAGCTGCTTGGTGCTGCGAGGAGGACGGTAGGGGGGTGTTGGGTATGTGCTTGACCCGCCCGTCCACATTGGGCCGCCACCATCCCGCCGCGCCGTCGCTCCATTTTGTGCCTCCCCTCTGCCCTGCTGTGCAGCGAGCTCATGGTGGGCTCCAACATCCCTTCCAAGACAGAGCTTATTGAGTACACGCAGCAGCACCCGGTGTGGGCGGCAGGCGGCGAGCGGGTGCAGGTGGGTCGGCGCGCCGCTGGCGGGGCAAGTGGGGAGGCGGCGGCAGGGTGCATGCGGCAACCTGGCAGCAGGCCCGCTGCTCTGTGTTGTGGGGGGGACTGATGCTATGGATTGGACTGATGCGATTTTACACTCGCGGCCTCCTGCGCGCTTGCAGGGGTTGGAGAGCCTGCTGCCTGCAGGCGGCGGCGGCGGCGCCGGCGCCGGCCTGCGCCGCGTCTCCTCCTCTGCAGCCCGCGGCCGCGACGAGAACGCCAGCCCCGAGCGCCGCAGCCCCTTCCTGCTGGCCCGCGCGGCCGCCGGCAGCTCGCCCGCCCTGGCCGACGAGGCGCCGCCGCCTCGCAAGGCGCTGTCCGAGGGCTCTGGCATGCAGGGGTCGCAGGTGCTGCTGAGCCCCATGGCCCCGACGGACGGCAGCGGCGCCACCTACCAGGCGCCATACACGGTACCGGTGGCTTACCCAACCAGCGTGTCGGTGGGCGGCGCCGGCAGCTCCCCCGGCAGCATGTACTGGTGACCGGGCGGCCTGATGGCTGCGCCCTGCAGCAGCGGCAGCTGGGCAGCCATCCAGCGGTAGGAAGCAAGGGGCACTACGGTTCCTTGCTCTTGGTTTTTGTGCTACACAGGCTTCTTTGCTCCCCCCTCTTTGTACATGCTCGTTTCATTGCGGTGAGTGACATCCCCAACACGCGTTCACTTCTCTCGCCTGTCAGTGCCCGGCCTGGAGTCGCCCGATCTCTTTTCCACCTCTCTTTGCCCATGGCAAGCCAATGTAACAGGCAGCCCAGCTGACGCTTCATTTGATAGCAGCGGCGGCAGGGCGGCGGACAGGGGGTGGGCAGCGAGCAACGCGTGCCGCCATTGCTCCCCAGGGTGTTGCTGTTTGAATGCGCAGCCAATGCCGCATGAGGAGCTCCTCGCCCGCAGAGCGCCTTACCACCACCACGCTGGAACCCATGCCATTTGCCACACGGGCGCAATCTTTCTTGTGGCATGGGGACGTATGATGTGATGAAGGCACGGCGCAGCGGCTGCCGGTCCGACAAAGCAGGGCAATGGGGGGCAGGCCAGCAGCGGCAAAGTTGGCGGCGCGGATGCAGATGGCGGCACAGCAGCAGGGCTGGGCCCTGTGCATCTCTGCTTGGCACGCACTGAGTCTGTCTGTAATGTGCCCACACGTTTGCAGCAGCAAACAATCAGCAATGACACCGAGGGCTGCCTGACGAGGCACAGCAAATCAAATCAAATTGGAAACAAGGCGCCAAACTGTGGGAAAACAGGAGCCACGAATGTGATCTCTGAGGCGTTTGTTGCGCCCCGCAAGGGGGTCGCGGTCGTCATGTGTTGGGCCGCTCGGGGGTGCCACGCCGCTCGTACGCCTCACGCCGTTACGCAGCCGCCGCGGTCAGGGGCTGCACCTGCCATCTGAGCGGCAGCCCGCCAAGCAAAGCGCAACAGAACCTCAAAAGTCATGTTCAGAAGAAGTAGTAGTCGGGGCAGCGCGTCTTGTCAATCTTGCCGCTCTCCATCATCGCCTGCTTCAGGTCTTTGGTGTACTCCTTGGGGAAGGCCTTGCCTGCAGGCATGGCGGGAGGGGCCTCATGAGCGCCGGCGCCGCCGCTTTGCATGCAACGCCGCCGGCTGCGCCGGCGCCGGCGCTCGGGCTGGCTGCTTCCCACCCTGACGGCAGGCCGCCCGCACGCCCCCGGGGCTTACCGATGCCGTTGTGCAGCTGGTGGTAGACCTCGGCCTGGTTGAAGGCCAGGCGGTTGGAGTCCAGCACCCATACGGTGTTGAACTGCGCAGGGGAGGCGCGCGCAGCGGCGGCGGGCAGCGTGGGCAGGGTCCCGGCCCTTGCTCACACTGCGGCATCGATATTCCCCCACACAACACACACACAGGGGTGAAACTGCTTTCCAGCCGCCCGCTTGCCCGACGCCACGCAGGCCGGGGCAGCCAGCCTGCGCCACCCCGCCCCAGGCGCCGCGCAGCCGGGCGGAGCCGGGCCGCGCTGGCGCCGCCGCGGCTGCCGCTGGCCGCGTCACCCCACCTCGTCGTCCTCGGCTGGCTGGCCGTTGGAGTCGTAAAAGTTGCCGCTGCCGGGCAGCAGCTGCATGCCGTTGACGTTGGCCACCTGCAGGATGGGGAAGAAAGGAGAGTCCACGCCGCCCGGCAGCCCAATCACGTTGCGATAGCCTGCAGCACGGGGGGTGGGCAGCGCCCGGGGGGCACCAGCGCTGACAATGGCTGTGAGGTGTGGGTTGGTGGATGTCGAACGGCTGGTGTGGCACCCTGCGCCGCCGATTGCGCCTCCGCCCTTTCTGGCTACAGGCAGGCAGGCACCACGGCCTGCTGGTGCGAGCAGCACTGTAGGGGCAGGTGGGTTCGGCAGGCAGGCAGGCAGCCTGCGGCTGCGGATGGCGCGCCTGGGCCGGCATCCTGAGGGTCCAGCCGCATCATGCCAAAGGGAGTCTTCCTAAACTGCAGGGCAATGGATAATAACGCACAGCCGCAGTCAAACGACGCATGCCAGCTCGGCACTGGCTTGGCGCCCGGCAGAGGTCAGCCTCTCCGCCGTCTGCCCCCATCATCCTTTGCCCGCTCCCCCCCATGGTGCTCCCGCTTCCTCCCCAACCCTTGCCTGCTTGAAGTAGGTCTGGGCAAACATGGCATACTGCTGCTTGGCTGCCTCCATGTCCCCCCTCAGGTCCACCTTCACCACCTCCGCATGCCCCAGCTCCTCATACACTGCAGCACAGGCCCACAGCGGTGACAAAAAGACGGGGCCAGCAGGACGGCAGCACAAGCTGCACCAGCAACAGAGCTGGCGAAGGCAGCGGCGGACTGGCACCGTAAGACTCGCGGCGCGGCCATGGGCGAGAGCAGCGGCCGCCGCAGCCGCCGCACCTGAGCCGGCAGGCCCGCGATAGTAGCAGACCTTGCCGGCGGCCGAGGGCACCCTGCCGCCGGCGTAGCCGACCACAGCGCTCATGTCGCCCGCAGACCGCCCCAGCGCCTTTTCCGTGTTGACAAAATCAAACTGCCTGCAGCGGCGCAGTTTGGGCAGGGTTGCAGCAGCAGGGATGGATGGAGCAGGGGGAAGCAATGGGCCTGTGCTGCCGTGTTGATTTATACAATGGCTGAGCCCAGCTCCCACTCCCACCCACCTGCCCCAGAAGCACCCGTTGCCAAAATAGACAGGTGTGATGCCCTGCATTAAGCAGCACTGGGGTTAAGAAATGAAAGGCGGGGGCCGGGAGTGGGGCTCAAGCAGCCGCCCCAAGCACAGCGGGCTTGCAGTGGGGCCAAGCAGCCGGGCGAGGGCAGCGGGCTGAGGCAGCGGCGCCACGTTTGCTGCCCACAGGCACCATGCACCTCTCCATCAGGCATTGCATCAGCCACCGCATCCCCCGCCGCCTCTACCACAGCTCCCGCCACTGACTCTGCCACGGCGCCACCCAGAGCGTCTGCCATTGCCGCAGGCGAGACGACCGGCAGGAAGGCCAGAGGCAGGGCTTGAGCCGGTGGCGCCGCCATGAGCGCCGCCAGAGCCCACGCTGCCGCCGCTAGCGCGGCGCGCTGCCCGGCTTGCTGGACCATGCCCTCTGTGGGGCTGTGGCAGCACGGGGGGAGCAAGTCAGCAGCAGGGAGACGGATGCGGTGGTGAGTTCTGCTCTGCTGCCGCTGCTGCCGCCTGCAGCACAGGCCAGCCACTGATTTCACACCTGCTGCCTTCCCTTGGTCCATTCGATGCACTGCATGCCACGGCATGCCGCTGCTGGCGTGGTGCCACAGGCCGGCGCAGCGACTGGGCGCACACCCTGGTGCTTGGCGTTGGCGGGGCTTGCAGCGCCATCTGATGTTGGCGGCGATGTCCTGGAGGGGTGCGAGTGGTGCGGCGATGGGGAGGGTGGCTCGTGAGTGGCGTTTTGATCGGCCAGAAGAAGTGTAGTGCGCATGTAGTGCCCTAGCCGCGGCCTCCACCCAGGAAAAGGGCCTCATTGCCCCGCGCCAGCATTGTTTTGACCTTTACTCTCATGTGCTGCTGTTGCGGGGGCTCCCGAGCCTGCTGCCTACCGTGTTTGCCCGCTTAGTGGCCCATTCCACCGCTTGACCCTCGGTTTCCTCCTCCTCACCGGCACTGCCTAGCTTTCGGGATCCCCCCCAGGCAGCCGGGGCCAGGCATCTTTACATGGTTTGCTGGGCCGCGCCATGTTGCGGTCTGCTAGTTTGCTGCCTGCTGGCGCTAGCCTGCACACCGGCTCTTGGGTTTGTGGTGAGTGGTGGGCGCCGCCATTGCCCCTGGAGGAGCAGCCCGCGTACCGGAAGGTGGTCGAGCAGCTGGCGGCAGGCCAGGCATGGCCAGGCGAGTAGGCTCCCTCCCAGCTCGCCCGAACTGTCTCCTGACCATGCAGAAAGGGCCCCGGCCAAACGCGGTGCCAGGCCTGATTGTCAAGCTCAAGGACGACGTGGTCACCATGTCGGCGGCAGGCACCGCAGACCTTGAGCCCATCAAGGGCAGCTCCCAGCTCAACCTGTACAAAGTCAAGATCACCGACGGCAAGAAGCCCAAGATCAAGGCGGCCGAGCTGCAAGCGCTGGGGGGTGAGGCCTGCCTGGCTGCAGCTGTCTGCTGCCTGCCTTGCCGCGTGGCTGCCTTGCCGCCGCTGCCGCCACCGTCGCTGCCGCCGCTGCCAGTCCATGGCGTGCAGCAGAGGCATGCACAAGAGCGCAGAGTGGTCAGGACGGGACCAGTGCTGGTGCTGATGGCGTCGCGGCTGCTCATTGCTGCCTGCAGATGTGGAGTTTGCAGAGCCGGACGATTGGATGAGCATAGCTGGCGGGCGCATGCTGCGGGCGGCGCCCAGGCCGCCGCCGCCGCCGCCACGGCCTAGGCCCAGGCCGCCCCCCGCCACCAGGCGGCCCAACGACGCGTATTACAATCTGCAGTGGGGCCTGGTGCGCACCAGCAGTTCATTTGAGCCCCGCCGCTCTGCTGATTCTGCCACGCGCAGCTGTGAACCTCGGCTGGGCTGGCAGCCCAGCTGCCGCATGCAACCCAGCCCAAGACGTGCAGCCCGCTGCCAGCTCCGGAGGCGCCAAGAAGCCTCCCCAGAGCATCGCTCATGCAGCCGTGCACTCCCAGCTCTCAGCCAAGGCCCTTTTGCTCCCCCTCATTTGATGCAGGAGCGCATCCGGGCGCCACGTGCGTGGGCCCACATCGTAGACGCCTCCCCCGTCCCTGTGTGCATAGTGGACACTGGGGTCAAGGTGAGCCCCGCTCAGCCTCAGCCTCATCCCGGCGGGATGGCCCTCCACTTTCCTGCCGCCCGGCTCCGTGTGCCTTGCCCTGCAAGCAATGGGTAGGGCTGGGGCCGGGGTGTGGGCATCGCTGTGTACGGTGATTTCAGCACCTGTCACTGCTGCACCGCCCTGCCGCTGCAGTACAACCACCCCGACCTAGCGCCCAACCTGGTCCCAATGACGGCAGAGTGGCAGAGGAGCAACTACGATGACAACCTCCACGGCACACACGTGGCTGGTATCATCGGCGCGGTGAGTGCGGGAGCAAGGGCGTAAAGGGAGGCAGCCAGGGGGTGAGCCTGCAGGCAAGCAGGCAGGCTGGAAGGCGTTAGCTGAGCCGGGAGGCAAGCAGCCGTGCTCGCCAGGTGCCACGCGTTGCTTTTGCTGTCGTGGGGAGGATGGGAACTCACCTGCACCGCTGCTGATGCCGCTGCCGCAGGCGGGCAACAACAGGCGTGGCGTGGCGGGGGTGGCCTGGAAGGCCCGCATCCTGGCCTGCAAGGCGCTCGACTCCACAGGCTGGGGCCTGACATCAAAAATCATAGAGTGCATCCTGTGGTGCAGGTGAGCCAGAGCGCTCGCGTATGGTGCTGCGCTCTCATGGCGTGCTTGCGTTTTGGTGCCAACAAGTCCCTGGTTGGCCTCCGCTCGAGGATTTGCCTCCCCCTCTCTCTCCTGCTTGCGGTACCCGCTCCTTGCGTTGTCTGCGGGGTGCAGGCACACCAGATGAGGGGCGCCCGCCTCCACCCCTTCCAAACGCACCCGTTGCTGTCCACCGGCCTGCAGGTCCCAAGGAGCCCGTGTCATCAACACCTCGCTTGTTGGGAAGAACGAGAACTTGGCTCTCAAGGCAGTCATGAACGCTAGCACGCGTGCCGGCGTCTTCTTCGCCAGGTGAGCCCCCATAGCCTGCTGCCGCTGCAACGTCATTGCTGCAATGGTTTGGGCAGCCGGCATGCTGCTGCACTGCTGGCGTGCAGCACCAGGGACTTGTCTGCTGTGCCTCGCTTTCCGCCCCTGAAGCCCGTCGTGTGCCCTGCCCGTCGCGCGACGCTCTATGCAGCGCCGCCGGCAACTACGAGCTCTCTAAGCAGAACGACAATGACAAGAGTCCTCGGTACCCGGCCAGCTGGGACTTCCCCGGCCACGTGGCGGTGGCCAACATGAATGAGGGGGATGAGCTGGATAACACCAGGTGTGCACAGGCTGGGGTGGCTGCTGCGCCGCCGCGGCGAGCGGGTCGGCGCGGGCCTGTGGCAGCACGCACAGCCGCTCACCCGCCTCTCCGCACGCACTGCCGCTGCAGCAACTACGGTGCGACCTCGGTGGATGTGGCCGCCCCCGGCACCAACATCCTGTCCAGCTGGTTTGAGCGTAACGCCGAAGACCCCGGGCCTTTTAACGGGGACTTTTATGCCAAGGCGACGGGCACCTCGCTGGCCGCTCCCTATGTGGCGGGCGCCGCGGCGCTGGCCATGGCCGCCTCGGGCGGCACGCTGACCAATGCGCATGTGGGGAGGGGAAGGCCTCTGCTGCCGCCGGGCTCCCCCTTGCGCTGGGGTCCTCGCCGCCGCTGCTGGGCATGCCAGGCCAGGCTGCCGGGCACCTGGGCTCGCAGAGCCGCTGGTGGCTGCTGCCAGCCAGCCAGGGCACAGCTTCCTCGCTGGGGGGCATGCGCTGGGCTCTTGTTGGGGGTCCCTAGCTACCGCTCAAAATGCTCGACATGTGCCTGGCCCTGTGCTGTGTGTAACATTTGCCTGGCCCCGTGCCGGCTGCCTGCAGGTCGCAAACCTTTTGGTGAAGACATCCACCTGGAAGGCGGGGCTCAACGGAACTGTGGTGTCTAATGGCGTGATCAATCTAGAGCAGCTCGTCCTCGCGGCGATCCGTGCACGCCAGCGAGCGAGAGCAGCAGCAGCAGCAGCGACGATGGCGGGATGAACGTGCCCCTGGTGCTGAAACTGGCGGGGTGACTCTATCCATGCACACAGGTGCCTTCCTCAGGAAGTGCCTTCCTTCAAGGCTGTGCACCCCACAAAATTGTTATGTGGCCTGTCATCAGTCTCCAGAGGGGAGGGGCTGGGGGGTCATTTTGATCCATGTCAAATTCGATGCTTGCTCCCCGAGTGACCCTCTTATTTTTACATGGCATGTTCCATAGACCTTAGGGGAAGTGCTGAGAGGTTCAGATCAGGGTCACTCGGGGGGGAACCAGGGGCCAAAGGCGCCGGCAAATGGCGCACGTCGGCGGGCGGGAACAGCCGGGAAGTGGTCAAACACTGCTGTTTGAAATGTCCAGGCCTTCTTGAGACATACCTGAGGGTGGCTGAAAAGGATTTGCAGCCCAGTCAGGGCCCTGGTGCTCAGAGCAGCCGTCTGGCGGTGGCAGCGGCGGCGGCACCGCCAGTGGTGGCATGCCTGCAGCCATCTCTGGCGACCGTCGGCTGCACTCCCCGCCCATTCCCTAGCTTTAGGTGACTCATACACGACGTTTAGACACAGACAATCGAGCAAAACCGCCTGTTTTTCGGGCCGTCAGTGGGCGACAGAGCGCCTTGCTGAGCGCGCCTGGCGATCCACCGCTGCGTCCAGCAGCCCTCCGGGATACGTTAGAAACGTTCCAGGCAGGCGGGAGCCCTCGGAGAGCGAAGAGGGGCGTTTCCAAACATGGCGGGGGCAGCCACGGCTAGCAACCGCCCCACAGGCACTTGTTTCTAGCGATTCTGACCTCATAGGGAACGATGCCAAGCGGCGGCACCGAAAAATTGAGGAAAATACATGGATCAACATCCAAAGGGGCAGCCCCTCCCCTCTGATCAGTCTCATGGCTCGCGCTTGTGCGAGTGCGGCCACCGCCTCGCCTTCGAGCACAGCGCTGCCTGGACGTTGCCGCCGGCACACTGGGCTTCGTAGCTAGGTGATTGCTCAACAAACTGCCTGTTGTGTCTTCTCTAGAGTCTCCACTCCCAATTGTCACTTCCCAGTCAGTTGCAGGCCCAGCTGTCGTGCTGCCATATGGCATGCATGCATGTGTCGCAGTGCGCAGTACTGCGAAGCGCTTGCCACCTCAGCGGTCGTGAAGGCAAGGCACACGCCCTCCATCCTGGGCTTAACATTCGGCAGACTGGTTCTGCGAGCCCCCGTGTGTGCGTGTTGCACACGATTGGAGGGGATCTGCGCGTCACTCATCTGCTGGCGTCAGTCCTCCTCCATTCGTGCCCCAGCCGCCCCAGTACTCCTCTCCACTATCCTTTGAGGTGGCATCCAGCACGCTGGAAGGCAGCACGGGCCGCGGGGCCCCGCTTTCATGACATGTGGCGCGGCCACGGGCCGAGCCCTACTGGCGGTGCTGGCGCTGGCGTGCCTCCCGAGACGCGGCCTGGCCTTCAAGGTGAACTTCAGATGGTCTCTGAGCCAATCAGCAGCAGCACCGCCTCCATGTGAAGGTGGTCAGATCCATGCAAGCATGGGTGTGATGGCAGTGTTGCCCCTCCTCCATTGCAAGTACCGCCATTACACACCGAATACAGGTGGGACCCAGGCCCACCACGCCGCCGGGTCTGATCGTCAAGTTGAAAGACGACGCCGTGGGGATGGCGGCGGCAGCGGCCTCCGTCGGCATGCGCGCCATCTCCACAAACCTCAATCTCTATAGCGTAAAGATCACGGACGGCAAGGCGGCTCAGGCCAAGGCGAAGGAGCTAGAAAAGCTGGGGGGTGAGGGCCGCTGCGTATTCGTCTTTGTCGCCCGTCGTGGCTGGCGCGGTCTCAGGCTGCCGCCGGCGCCGCCAGCACAGGCATGCTTGGGCCGTACCAATAGCAGCAGCTGGACTGGAGGGATGCATCCATGGTGCTCCCATGGCGGCAGCGGAGCAGCAGCTGCAAGGGCCCGCGCTGGCCTTGCAGTGTGCCGCATGCAGCTCAGCGGGCCTTCTGGCTGCCGCCTGCCCAGTGCAGCTTGTGTGTGACGTGCCGTTGCCTGCCGCTGGCTGCCTGCAGGTGTGGAGTATGTGGTGTCGGACGAGTGGGTCAGCATAGCAGATGGGTCAGCCATGGGGCGTGTGGAGCGGATGCTACACACGGCTTTCAGCCGGCCGCCGCCCCCCACACCCATCCGGCGTCCGCCGCCACGGCCTCCCTCGCCACGGCCCAGGCCTTCGCCGCCGCCGCTGAAGAGGCCGCCGCCGCCGCTGCGCAAGCCACCGCCGCCACCACGGCGGCCGCCACCGCCGCGTCGGCCGCCGCCTCCGCCTCCGGCAGTCAAGAAACCCGACGACCTGTTCTATAGGGAATTGTGGGGGCTGGTGAGTCTCAGGATACTACCAGTTGCGAACTGCTCCGCTGCCAGCCCAGCAGCCAGCAGCAGCAGCACCGCTCCCGTGGTTGCATGCGAGATGGCAGCGGCAGAGCGCCGCCCTGCTGACCAACGCGTCTGTGCTTGCACGTGCGCCTGCCGCCGCCGTCGCAGCCGCGCATCCGGGCGCCGCAGGCCTGGGGCTATGCCAGGGGTTCAACCATGGTGAAGGCCTGCATTGTGGACACAGGGGTCAAGGTGAGGGGTGAGGGAGTGGCTAAGCTAGGGCTGTGGTGAAAGTAAACGGCCCACCTGCCGTTTGCGTTTGCAGACCGCCAGGCATGCAGCATCGGCGCATCGATTTGCCACACACCCCATTCACCGCCGCACTTTGCGGCGCATGTACCGCTGTCACATTCAGGGTACTGTTTTTACCGCTGCACTGCCCTGCGCCTGCAGTACAACCATCCCGACCTGGTCGCCAACCTGGCGGCCATGCCCACAGCCTGGCAGGCAAAGAACATGGACGACAACGGGCATGGCACCCACGTGGCGGGCATCATTGGCGCGGTGAGGCTCTGGCAGAGGCTGTGCGGCTGGCGAGCTGCGTGCGCCTGCCCTGTGCTGCAGCCGCCGCCGCCGCTTCCCCATGTGGACGCGTGGCTGTCGTTCGGGTGGTGCATTGGAGCGCTGGGATTTGTCCCATCTTGCTTCTGCTGGGCTGATTGGCCGTGTCTGCTGCTGCTGTGGCTGCAGGTGGGCAACAACGGACTGGGGGTGACGGGTGTCTCCTGGAGGGCCGGCATCCTGGCCTGCAAGGCGCTCGACTCCACAGGCTGGGGACTCATCTCGAAAGTGGTGTGGTGCATCGAGTGGTGCAGGTGCGTCTGCCCCAGGGCGGGCCCAGCTGTGGGCTGGGCTGCAGGCTGTTGCTGTCTTCCAGCAGCTGCCTGGGCGCCAGCTGCTGTGGGATCCTGCTGCTTGGCAGGACGCCTGGGAGCTGCGTCCTGCTGCTCCCCGCTTCCTGCATGTCAGAGCTTCCCCACACTGCCCGCTCCTGCCTCACATATCCATGCCCCCCGTGCCTGCCTCTGGCCGCGTGCCCTCCCACCTGCCTGCAGGTCCAAGGGCGCCCGTGTCATCAACACCTCCTTCGAGCTTGCCACGGAAAACGTCCCGCTGAGAGAGGCGATCGGCAACGCCACGGCAGCGGGCGTCTTCTTCGCGGGGTGAGGGCCCTGCCGCCGCTGTCTGTGCCGCGCTGTCTGTTTTGTCGGTGCTTAGCGCTCATCCGTCCCTGCCGTCCCTGCCGCCACCGCTGCACCTCCCCTCTGCTGCAGCGCCGCGGGAAATACCGAGGGCGGCAACGACAACGACAAGTCCAACCGCTACCCTGGCGGCTACAAGTTTGCCGGCAACGTGGCTGTGGCCAACATGAACTCAGACAACAAAATCAACTACAACAGGTGAGGCCGGGTGTGGGCGGACAATGGCCAGCAAGCAAGTCAGCAGCGGGGTCAGTAGTGGGTGGTCCCTACAGCAGAGGGATTGGGCCTATACCCGCTTGATCTGCTCCCCGCCCGATCTGTCTGGTCCCTCCTCCTGGCCCCTTCCCTTCGCTGCAGCAACTACGGCGGCACCACGGTGCAGCTGGCGGCCCCCGGCACCAACATTCTTTCCACCTGGTTCTCGCGGGAGTATGCCGGGCAGTTCTACGCCATCCGTACCGGCACCTCCATGGCAGCTCCCTATGTGTCGGGCGCCGCGGCGCTGGCCATGGCCGCTTCTGGCGGACACCTCACCAACAAGCAGGTGCGACTGGGCGCGCTGCTGGTGCTGGAGCTGGTGCCGCTGCTGATGCGCGGCTTGTGCTGGGTGCCTGCAGCTGGGCAGCCTGGGCTGCCGTGCGGCGGGCGGTTGCTTCATCGACACATCCGCACCTGGCGCCACCACTCCGCTGTGCTGCCGGCATCTCTCTGCTCACCCAGCCGTGCAACTACCCGACCTGCCGTTCTTTCCTCACCCCCCTCCCTTTGTGCCGAGTGCAGGTGGCAAAGCTGCTGGTGACGACCTCCACCCCCGTGGCAGCACTGCGCGGCAAGGTGGTGGCCAACGGCGTGATCAACCTGGAAAAGCTGGTGATCAAGGCCGTCGACGCGGGGAAGGCGGCAGCCGCCGCCCAGGCCAAGGCAGCGGCCGAGGCGGCGGCCAAGGCCAAGGCCCAGGTGGTGGCGAAAGCTGCGGCGCTGAAGGCAGCACAGGCGGCGGCGCTGAAGGCAGTGCAGGCGGCGGCGCAGAAGGCAGCGGGACGATAGGCGTGGCGCTATCCACCGAGCCTGCTGTTTGAAGAAGGAAGCGCTGTGGCGGAGGAGGCCCTGCCCTGGCGAGCTCGCGAACCTCTGCTGCCATTACAGCTCTTCGCCTCCCAGCCGCCATGCCGCCACCCACCCAGGACTCTGCGCTGCAAGACAGACCATGACAGGAGACGCATCGGACGCAGGACGCACTGCCTTCCCAGCCCAGCTGTCGCGGCCCGCGCATTGCGCCTGCCGGCCCGCACGGCACCCGGCCGGCAAGCCAGCAGTCCTGCTGCTGTAGCTGCAGCCCTTCCATATCGCAGCTGTATGTATCAGAGCCGCCGCCGCCCCGTTGCACATCCTGTACCTTGTGCGGCACCCTCACCCGCCGTGTTGCTTCACGCTGCCGCTTCCACCCTCTCCTTCGTGTCCCGCTGCTCCCTAGCTTTCACCGCTGCATCCCTGTGTGGTCCGGCTGCTGTCCCAAACTGCTGCCACCTGGCGGGAGCCACTTTCAGCTCACTTTCATCGCCCTTCTCTGGCACTCCATGCAGACCTACCTACCTTCCAAATTTCTCACCGATTTCTACACTCCCTGCTGCTGCCCTCGTCGATACTGACACGTTACACATGCATGCGGGATATCCCCTTTCCCTATACATCGACTGGTGTCTCTAACACGCAAAGCAAAGCAAGCTCACAGTGGCTTGCATGTAAATAAGCTGTGTCAGCCAGTGTTGCGGGGCCTGGAGCTCACTGCTGTGCCACCGAGGCCCGCCTACCACTGGCGCATCTCCTGCCCCCCCATGGCGCTGCTGGCTGCCGCCGCCACCCTCACTGCAGCTGCGAGGTGAAGCAGGCGCAGGTGAGCGGCGCGAAGCGGCGGGGCTGGCGGGCGGCGGCGGGCGGCTCGCTGAGGTCCACCTCCTGGAAGGACTGGCCATCTGCTGTGTTCGCTACACCTGCTGCGCCTGCTGCGACAGCAGCCTCCACCCGCACCGCCTCCTCGGCGGGCAGCGGCGCCTGCGGCGCCGGCTGGCCGCCAGCGCCGGCGCCGGCGGCGCCGTTCAGAGCGGGGCTTTCGGGGATGGGGGACAGGTGCGGCGCGGCAGAGGAGCCGCGGGTGCTCAGGTCGCGGCTGGGGGGCAGGGGCGGGCTGTCGGAGCGGCGGGGGCGGCGCCGGAAGCTCTGGCGCAGGCGGGTCATGCTGCGGGGGTGCAGGACAGGGGAGGCAGGAGGAGGGGGAGGTCTCGAGGGACTGGCTGCTGGGAGCTAGCCAAAGTGCTGACCTGCAAGCAGCGCTGGCCTGCGCCCCACCGCTGGCGCCGCCACCGGTGCGCCATGCCCGGGCCAGCTGCCGCACTCGCAGACCAGCACCCGCATCCACTCCTGTGGGTGCTGCAGGGCCGCCAGCTTACCCGCGCGACAGCTTCCTGCTCAGGCTGCGCGCCAGCGAGGCCTGCGGGGCCGCGCCGGTGACGTCGTGCGCTGTGGAGCGCGCGGGCGAGGAGGAGGCCAGGGAGGGCGCCTCTGGCGGCGGCGGCGGCGAGGCCACGGCGGGAGAATTGTGCTGCAGGGCCTCTGGCTTGGGGCCCAGGCTGCCACGCATGCTGCCGCTGCTACCCCAGGTGGCGGCTGCAGAGGGCGCGGCGGCCAGGGAGGCGTCTGCAGGCACCGCCTCTGTGGCTGGCTTACCGGGGGACATGCTGCTGCGCGCTGCGGCTATGACAAAGTCCTGCAAGCGAGTGCCAGGGGGACGCCGTGCAAGGGCAAGCAAGTGCAGGTGAGGGCCGAGTGAGCGCCGTGCAAGGCGGCAGCGGCGGGCTCCCGCCAACCAGCGGAGGCGCACACCTGCTGGGCCGCCTCTCCCTCCAGATCCTGCACCGGGCGCTTCAGCGGACTCCCATCCAGGCTGCTGGGCCCTGCGCCAGAGCGGGGCCTTTTAACTTGGTGCGATGGACTGGTGTGCGCGGGGATTAGGCCAATGGGCATCTTGACAAGCTCAGAGGGCCGTCTTCGGGCAGAATGCGGGCAGGGGAGCTGAACACAGCAGAATGCAGTGTGGTGGCCGCCTAAAATGCAGGCGATCAAGAAAGCAATGGCGAACCCGCCCAACCCCCATTTCTGCCCCGCCTGCCTCCCGACACTCGCACCCGCGCTCCTGATCCCTCCCTCTACCATGCATGAGCGTGCCGAGGCCCTAGGCAAAGCCTGGAGCGAAACGATCGCCAGCCTCTCCGCTGTTGCCGAGCAAACGTAAGGGCTTCGCCCTCCCTGGCACTGGCAGGCCAAATCTGACCCGTTCCTGTGCTCTACGCGCACGCAGGGGCAACGCCATCGCACTTCGCCGAGCCTACACCGCCCAGCTGCAACTCCAACTCGTGATTGCCGACCTGCAGAGCCGCCTGGCAAGTTACCGGCGATCTGCAGCGCCTCCAGCAGCGGGTGGCCGCCCCAGGCCCCTGCACCAGGGTGGCGGCGGGAGGCTCCCGTCCCCGCCTCCCGCTTCTCACTTATCGCCATACAACAGGCTTCCCTTGTGCCCAAATCATCCTTGGCCTGCAGGAAGCTGCCAGGCAGCAGCTGGAGGTTCAGGCTGCGCAGCAGAAGTAGCAGCCGCCGCAGCAGCAGGAGCCCGCCGCCCGCGTGTGACGCTGGGCAGCACCCAACTTCCCAGCTAGTGAGTGCCTGGCACCCCGTGGCCAAGCGCCATCAGTCAGCTGGCAGCCACCCACCATGGACACCCTGGCAGCAGCAGCCGTGGCGGCCAGCCCAGATGCCGCAACCGGCGACAAGGCGGGCGCGGGTGGCGGCCCCGACTGGGCCTTCCCGGTGTTTGTGGGCTGCCGCCGCCCGCTACCGCCCGACGACATCCTGTTTGAGGCAGGCAACATCGAGCGGGAGCAGCTGGCGCGGGAGGTGCGCCCGCGGGGAGGGATGCAGGACAAGAGGGGCAGGCAGGGTGCGAGCGCCGGCTCAGCCAAGCACGCCACGCCGCCCCTTCCTGACACTAGCCTTTTGGCCCCCTGGCTGTCATGGGTGCGTGCCTCTTGGCCCCCTGGCTCTGCATCTGCGCAGGCGGCCGTGTCGGTGGCGCGGGACGAGCGGCGCCAGCTGGCCAGGGAGGCTGAGCTGGCGGGGGATGCCGAGCTGGCAGACCGCGTGCACGTCACATTTGAGTGCGGGCGGTGCCACGCCGCGCTGCCCACGGCCCGCCTGCTGGACATCCACGTGTCCGAGATGCACGACAGCTTCTTCGCGGCGCAGGCGGCCCGCCGCATGCCGGTGCGCGCGGGTGCCCTGGGGGCGCGGCGCCGGTGGCGGCTGGGGCCAGGGAGGGGCGTGGCGCCGGTTGCGGCTGGGGGCAGGGAGCGGCGTGGCACTGCGGTCTGTGCTGCTGGGTGAGGGAATGACAGCGGCGCTTGTTTGGTGGGCGGTCGCACCCGGCCGCCCTCTGTGTCCACCTGTGCCCCTCCGCCTGCGCCATCGTTGCATCCCCGTGCTCCCTCCCCTGCCCGCAGGTCTACCTGTGCCTGGTGGAGGGCTGCGCCCGCAAGTTTTGCACGGTGGAGGAGCGCAAGCAGTGAGTGCCCCTGCCGGGCGTGGCGGCGCGTGTGGGCCTCAAGTGCCCTGGTCCTGCATATGAGCGGCGCGGGCAGCACGGCGGAGCAGCCCAGGCCCTGCTCCCCTGCTCCCCGATGATCCCCTGTGCTCCACCCCGTGCCACGCCTCGCCCACCCATGCTCGCTCGCCGCTTGCAACAAATCCCCTGGCCTTCCTCCCTTCCTTCCTTCCCTCTTTCCTGTCTTTTTTGCTTTCTTTCTTTCCTCCAGGCACCTGACCGAGCACCACAAGTTCCCGCGCAACTATAACTTTGACCGCATCCACCTCAGGTGGGGGGGCCAGTCAGCGCCACAACCGCAGCACGTGTGTGCAGTCGGGGCTGGCGCGTGGGTCTCGGGTGGTGGTGCTGGCTGGGCGGTGCAGCGGCTTGCGCAACTGTTTTGGCCACAGGTGGCCGCCGCCTTGCGTTGCTGGAGCCCTTGTGCTGACCGGCGGCCCTGCTGCGCATGATGCGCAGGCGGCACAAGGCCCAGATCCGGCCGCTGCCGCAGTACCGGAAGGGCCACGGGCGGCAGGCCATGGCGGCCGATGCTGAGCCAGGTGCTGCGGGTGCGCCGCCGCCCAGCGACCGGCAGGCGGCGGCGGTGGAGGGGCAGCATGCCGAGGAGGTGGTGCAGGGCTTGTCCCGCCTCAGCATGGCAGCAGAGACCGGCACCGTGCCCAGCGTGGTGCATTTTGGGCGGGGGCGGGGGCGCGGCCTGGCTGGCATCCCGCGGGGGCGGGGCGGCCAGAAAGCGCCACAGGCGCAGCCCGGTGGCGACACGTAGCTAGCGCATTTCCCCCTTGTTTCTTTTTGCCGTCTCTGCCTGCAACAGCCATGGTTTTCATTATCGCTGCGCCTTACCTCCACGCTTCGCAGTTTTCCTCTCGTTGAGTGTTTCCTCACGCACAGCTCGTCTGGCACCCTATTTGATGTCGTGTCCACTGCGGCATCCAGCCTCGTGTATTGTGATGCATAGCTTTTCCAGGCATAAGGCGCTTTGGAGCTGCAACTGCAACCTCCGCGGAGAAGCATTGAGCATGAACGAAGAGCATGAAAGAAGAGCAAAGGGCGCAGCACGGAGCAGAGCGAGGGCGGCGGGGTTGTGGAAAAGAATAAGTAAGAGATGGGCGGCCAAATCAACCGCTTGATTGCCTGCCTGCGCTCATGCCCGCCGCAGGCTGCAGTCGGGCAGCGCTGCCACAGGTGCAGGCCTCCCATGGCAGCATGCCAAGCTGATCGTTGGTGCTGGTGGCGCCGATCGCGGCGCGGCCTCCCGCCCAGCAGCCACCACCCCGGGGCAGCCGGCACCAGCCCGCCGCCGCTGCCAGCCGCTCAGAACTGGAACTGCTGGCCGTTGGTGTAGCCCAGGGCGTCCATGTGGGCCTCCATGGCCTTGTTCATGGGGCCGGGCCCGCAGCGAAGGATGAGCACGTCGGTGCCGGGAGCCGGCAGGTGCTTCCTGCGCCAGCGGCGACGCCGGGGCGGCAGGGGAGGCTGGATACCGGCGGCGGGCGGGCTGGGGAGGCTGGATACCGGCGGCGGGCGGGCGGGGGAGGCTGGATACCGGCGGCGGGCGGGCGGGGGAGGCTGGATACCGGCGGCGGGCGGGCTGGGGAGGCTGGATACCGGCGGAGGGCGGGCGGGGGAGCATGCGGGCCAAGGCGGCGCCGCAGAGGCGGGCCGGGCAGGCGCCCAGCAGCAGCAGCAGCAGCAGCAGCAGCAGCAGGTCTAGGTGCCTGCCTTCACTGGCCCGCCAGCCCCCTGCGCCTCTCCCAGGCTGCCCCGCCCGCTCACTTGATCATATCGGCGGTGACAAAGCCCTTGCCGCCCTGCCAGCCCTTCGGCGGGTTGTTGAGCACATAGTAGACGCTGCAGGCAGGGGGCAGGTGGCAGGGAGGGCGGCAGCGTTTGGTTGCGTAGGCGGGCGTGTGAAGCCTACCTCGGCGGCTTGCCCTTGCCCCCTCGATTCCCAGGGCAACGCATGGCGCAGCGTGGGGGCAGGGCGGGGATAGCAGGCAGGGCTGCGCGCTCCTGAAGTTGGGGTGGGCCGCCGCCAGGTCATCCAGCTCCCGGCGCAGCAGGATGTCGTCCTCTGCGCGAGTGCGGGTGGGTGCACACGTGTGCGGGTGTGGCGTGGGCCCATTGTGAGGCACGAGCGGCAGGCGGGGTGGGGAGCTACAGTAAGCCCTGAGACCGGCCCACCGCCCCCCTGCCGACAGCAGCAGCGACAGAAAGCCGCGCTGCCCTGCGCTGCGAGTGCATGGACAGGCGGGCGGGCGGGCAGGCAGGCAGGCAACGTGCCCGCCCGCATCCCCGCGCCCGCCGCCGCCGCGCAGCGTAACGCACCCGTGACGTTTGCGTAGACCAGGGACAGTGCGGTGTTGTCGTTGGGGTCTTTCAGGATGTGCTGCATCACCTGCGAAGAAAGAAAGAAAGAAAGCGGGAAAGAAGGGAGGAAGGAACGGGAAGAAGGGAGGAAGGACTGCGCCGTCGGTGGGGGGGCTGGGCAAGCCCTGCTGGGCCCGCGCGGGCCGCGCTGCCGGCCGCGCCCGGCAGCAGGGCGCGCAGCCCGCTGCCGCGACGTGGGCGTGCTGGCTGCGGGGCGCGGCGCGGGCGCGCGGGCGCGCCTCCCGGTGCGAGCCCCCACCTGGAACATAGGAGTGATGCCGCTGCCGCCGGCCAGCATGCCTGCAGGCGCATGCGTGCACGGAGGGGGTCATCGGCGCCGGCCCCCCAGCGCTGCCTAGCCAACTCCACACCACACCCACGCCCAGCCCACGACCCAACCGCCGTCAGGACCAGCGCCCGCCACCTGGGGGCCACACCGCCACCCATCCGCGCCCACCCGCACCCCCTGCCCAGCCCCCCCACCGATGGCCTTCTTGGAGCCGCGCTCGTAGCGGAAGCGCCCCTTGGGGCCATTGAACAGCA